TCTGGTTGTCGAGGAATTGGGCCATCTCCAGCGCCATCTGGATTCCCACAAGCTCTGCCATGAAGACGTTTGCCTCGGTCTTTCGTCCTAGGAACGCTTGCTGGGTTTTCCTGGGATTGTGTTGGATTGTTGCCGCTCCCACTTTCTCGTTGATTGCACTCCCGTCGGTGTAGAAGACGAGACTGTTGTTTCTCTCCAGGATCCGATCGTGTGTGTTTGTTGCCCTTTCCATACTATCCTCTATCCAGGTGTTCGGGGCTTCCCACCAAGTCGGGGTGAGAAAAGGCTGTTTTTGTTCCAAGCTGTGGATGGCTTCTGGCCCGAGTATTGTTTCGCAGCGGTGTTTGTGTCTTTCGAGTGGTCCCCAGCGGTTGTGAAGGTCCTTCCAATCATTCTGGTAGCCCTTCCATCGTCCTTGGGTCTGGATCTGTTGTAGGGTCTGGTGTAGGGGTGATGCTCGGATTCGGAGGTATGTCTCGGCGGTGATTTTGTCCAGGTGCAGTTGGAGGGGCAGCAAATATGCTTCGACGTCTAGTGCCGGCCCTGAGACCGTTCGGTATGCTCCAGTAATAATCCTGGCCGCCTTTCTCTGGACTGCCTCTAGCTTGCGTATGGCTCTTCGGCGGTGTTGTACCCCCGCGCTCATCGGGGCATACCAGATTGACGCAGCGTACGTGATCTGGGGGAGGATCGTTGCTTGGTATATCTGGCGCAGTCCTTTATAGCTGGTACCCCAGGTTGATCCTGCCAGGCTGCCGAGGGCTCCCAGGGATCTTGTTGTCTTGGCTTCGATACATTCAATGTGACTGTCCCAACTGAGTTTGCTGTCTAGGATGAGTCCGAGAATTCGGCACTTAGTCACTGGCTTCACCTTTTGGCCGTCCAGCTGGACTGGGCTGTCCATGTTTATGTTCTTCATGTATGCGCTGGGTAGGTGGATGAGGCTGAATTTGGAGGGGTTGAACTTGGACGCATGCTTTGTCTCCCATGCTTTGCACTTTTCGTAGGTGGCCTCGAGGTTTCTGCAGTTTTCCTCAGTCGTGGCTCCCCAGGTGATGATGTTCCCATCATCTACCCAGCCCACCGCTTCTGCGTTAAGATTTGGGTCTTGGCAGTCTTCGATAAGGTCGGCGTTGAAGAAGAGGTATAGCATCAGTGACAGCGGTGATCCTTGGGGGATACTGGTTTCCACGCTCATAAGCTCCGACTTTCCTTCAGGGAGTCGTATCGTGGTTCTGCGGTTTTGGAGGAAACTCGCAACCCATCCGGCAACCCGCCAGTCTATCTTTCGTTTCCTCAGGTTATGGATCAATCTAAGGTGGGAGACATTGTCGAAGGCCCCAGATACGTCTAGGGAGAGGATCGAGACCACTTTTCTAACCGCCTTTGTCGAGTGCTTCTCAAGCCTATAGAGTTTACGTAAGGGGACAAAATCTCATGTCATGTTTGAACGGTGATGTAACTTACCCTTGTCCAGTTCCAGTGACCATGGAAGATATTTTCCTGTCACAGCGGGTGCCTCAGGCAATCGCCGTCAGAAAGCCGCGCGACCACCGCTCGGAGTCCGACAGTTCGGTGACCGAACTGACTGACCTAACCGCTTTGGGCTGAATCCCGAGCGTGACGTTGCTGTATATATATGACCTCTAGGAATCGCTGGTCTTCCTGGACCCCAGCGATTCGTTTCTGAATCAACTAGCATACAGCTTCTCCTTCCTCTTTCGTACATCCTTCGTAGTCTGACATTTCGTTGCTTGCTAGGAAACCTGTGGCGAGTGAAGACCGACTGACCACCGACGTCGATCCGACCTCCCCGCTTACATTTCCCCAAAATCTAAACAAAGCGATGATGATGCCACTGATGGCGACAAGTGGGAAGGGCAGGAGGGGGTCTTAGAGGGCGCGCTCTTGTTTCCGGCGGCATACTTAAGACTTGTTCAACCCTACCTACTAGTGATAGGTGCTCTATTCTATTCGAATTAGGTTGACACTCCCAAATCGTCCGTCACCAAATTGTAGCTATAGATGACGAGCTTGCTTGAGATTAACTGACGTAAGATTTCCGCGCTCGTCATCATTGCATAATTCAAGAAACTCGCCGAGAATAAAAGTCTTACTTGTAACGTAAGTTTTTTAAAAAGACGGTCATCATTTTCAGCCCTTCGTGTTGTTGACTCATCGACCACAAGTCTGTCGCTGCTATCTCAAATGTCAACTTTATTTGAGAAGTGTGTGTCCTGTGGCAAACAAACACCCGGCTCCCTGTTCTGTTCAGACCAGTGTCGTCTTGGCGCTTCGCTGGCTCGAAGTGTGGCAGCAAGAGAGCAGTCAAAGAAAAACAGTCCACCTTCTTTGATTATTCCCTCCGGCCCGGTTGGGAATGGTCTGGAGTCTCTCACCATGGAAGAGCATACGGCCCGTTCTGAGAGCCCAGGAGTTGAACTTGCCCAATATAAAGATTCCTTTGCTCGGAGATTGGAAAAGAGAAATACGTTCTAAGTTCCACCCATTGCTCCTAGTGCTCGAAGTAGCCGGGGCTTCAGGTGTTTGTAGGTCTATCTGTACAGCATGCCCCAGTGAATGCTAGCAGAAAGGATTATTGAATTCAGCTTCTTGTCTTCAAGCTCCGGCCGATGCTACTTTCTGCAGACTTGTCTCGATTTCGTAAGGCAACCCTTGACCGCCCGTTGCTTGCGACTGCTGCTTACTGCATTGTTGGCTGTTTTGAGTTACCGTAGTCGTTCGGGTAACAGGATGTTCGAGCCATGACAATGTCCTTAAATGATCAATCATGTCGTCACTGTTACTTCCTGAAATTTCACCTAAATTGATTCCTATAGATGGCCGCGCTAACATGATTTGAAATACCTCGCTAGGAGCTCTCAGACAAATCGTACAGTACTGACCACGATCGAACCTCTAGCCTTCGACCTGACATGTCGTCCGTCGTCCACATCAGTTTTGGACACCACAATATTCTATGTCCGAGAGCCTCAGCCGCTTCTCCTGCGACCCCCTTCAGTCCAACAGCGATGTACTCGAGCCAGCCTCCCTTGTATCCCTACTCCACGACTCCCACAAACGCAGGTCCTGGATACGATTCACCTCCGGAACCGCGACGCGCCGACGACGAGAAAGACAAACCTCGGCAGTCTCTCCCTTCCATCCGCGAGGCCTTGGGCAATGATAAACCCCTGCCATACCCTGGGCCTCCAACATTAGCCCCTCAATAATCTCATAGCGCACCTCCTCCGCATCACATCTCCAACTTTGCTGGTTGTCCTGGCGCCGAAGGGCCGCCAGGTCCTCCTAACCCCTTCTCGAATGGAGAGCCAACCAATGAGTCGGGGCCGTATATAGGCGCGCGTATGGATAAAGAGAACGGTGGAATTCCAGGACATACATTCCCGGGTGTCTCCCAGAACGATTCTGTGAAACGCAGTCTCGACTTCTACCAAGTCGAAACGTCACTGAATGAGGTATCTATCTTGGAACGGCGTAGATTAATTGGTTACTAACTTTGACAGATGGCTGATTTGAGCTTCTGTCATACACCATTTTTTGATGAGCGGAGGGGCTTGAACATCGCTCCGTGGTCGAGACCCATGGTAAATCTGTGTCCACAATTATTGGCTTAGCTTTCTCCTTTCTCCACCTTGGAGTACCGTCCCTAAAACGTCTATGGAAACCCCTGGAAGATCCCACACTGCATTATAAACCAACCGCGGCGGTACCATGGTAGAGCTAGCCACGACTGCCAGGGATCATGGAAGCAGCAATTACTCCCTAACAAGCAAAAAAATCGATGAGATATTCGCGCTTTTCGGGATTAAGAAGAGTGAGCGGATAGACCCACTTATCACCGAGCTGTCCGGTATAGGTGAGTAGGTGGCTTGCATTTACAGTGGGATCCCTGGCTAATATACATTCCTGTCCGTGAAACTCTACTTGAGGCCGGAATAAATGAAAAAGAAACGCCCTTCTCGCGTCTCGTCGGTTCTCTCTCCCAAGAACACCCCGCTACGTCTCACGGAATTCGAGGATCTTATCGGCTCCTAGATAGCGGAAAGAGGTAATCTTGAAAGAGCCTGTGTTGCCGCCTTGACCGCCCGCTGATGTTGCGGCAATTTCTAGGAAATCGACGCGACTGGAGCTGGGTCTCTCTCTGGCCACCAGTTCGCAAAATCATGGAAACCTAGGACATTCTCGCTACTCCAATCAGTAAGCCGCTGCCCTTATGTACCTATATAGATACGGACTTACGGAGATAGTCAAAGATCTGTACATACTGAAACCTCGTACACAGAAGGCCCTGCATCAAGTTGAACAAGACGCCCGCGGAGAAAGCCGCCCACCGCGACCGCTTGACAATTGAAGTTAGGTGAAGTGGCAGAACTTCTCCCACTTCGGAGTCAACCTTTGCTCAGCCACACTGGAGTGATGCTTTTCTAAAGTACTCATTCAAATACCCCCTTCGCCTCTAACTGCTCTAGTAGCTTCCACTCTTCTTCTATTTTCAACAAAAAAAGCAAAAACCATGGTGAGCTACTGAACACGTCCTGTAAGGGCATATACTTAGCTAACTCATTCTCCTCACTAGTCTCTACATCAGATTTACCCTGAATCTGGTGAAGATCTAAGCGGCCAGGCCATATATGGTTGAGCATCTCTGGCCGGCAGTTGCAGGCCTCGGTGGCTTCATCACTACCCTCGACAACTCCGCCATTAACAACACTGCCCTTCTCAAACTCGACGGTGCTACAAGGAAGTACATCTGGCAAATATTAGCCTAACAGCTCCCCAAGTGGCTATGCACAGCGGACTGCAAGAGACTAGTCACGCAGCGACAAGAAGCACGGCAAGCTGGAGATTCATACGTCGTAGTTTCACCACACCATCTCATGACCCATCTCCATGAAAAGAAGTCTCGCTCGATTTCCTCTATACATTACCTGACAGTGCAGCCGACCCTAGCTTCTCAGACTCTAGCTTCTCAGGCTCCAGCTTCTCAGACCCCAGCTTCTCAGACCCCAGCTTCTCAGACCCAGTCTTCCAAGACTCAAGGGGTGGACGATTGGTTTGTAGAAGAAGCAGTTCGGGTGCTTCAAACTTTCTGTCTATAAGTTTCTCGACCCTACTCCTTATATTATCCTTGGTTGCGTTAGTTAAGAGTCACAGGAAGGTGATAGCTAACAAACCATGGCTTTTGAAATCATTTCATAGTTGACGTGATGCGCGAGATGAACCTTCAGTAGATGATGGTTAGCATCGGAGAATAAGATAGATAAAATCACTCACCACTGCCACATCCATTTCAAGCTGAGAAAGTAAGAAATCGATGTTGCTTGCATAACGCTTCGCTATATATGCTTCAATCTGGGCTCTGATAAATATTTCCTTGGGATCTTGATCTTCACACTTTTGTCCGAAAGTTTCAATGATCTCAGTGATATCATCCCGAATGCTGTCGGTATACCATAAAGCCACATTCCTTATAGCCTTATCTCGCCCCGGGCACCATGAAGACACACCATGTACAAGCTTGGAAGTTGGGTCAGAGAGACCATGATGCAAACGATCAACATCAACAGCAAAAGTTCTGAGGACATCTACCTCATCTGAGGAGAGAGAGTCAAGGAGTGTACCTAACTCAGGGTCTAGTCTTTGTGATATGAAAGTGGGTCTACACGTGACGCCGACTAGCGGCCTCGTATTCCGTTACCCCTGAGATCGCTGCATCTTGGTGGTCGAGAGAACAGAACGGAGAACACATATCATTGAGCCCATCGTGTGTAGCATCAATTATATGGCTGCGTCGGTGTAGTCGCTACAGATCTCTTCTGCCTTCTTCCCCTTAGATGACCCCTGAGCAAGGAACCTTCAACACTTTGCGTGAAGCGAGATCGGGTGCAAGACGACAGATAAGGACTTGAAATTGGGCAATTGTTTTCATCCTCAAGAGGTCGCAGGGAAGCCTCTACCATAGCACGGAGTGTCTGCTTGGCAGGTATGCGAATCCAGCCTCCTGAGAGAGCAGAATTCTTGCTGGGTGGCTAAACGGCAGAGGCCATGACGGATTTTCGGTGTCTGTTGATTGTATTCAAAGTCTGCTGGCGATGTGCATGATAGATCAACAAATTTGAAAGGAGAATAAAAAAATTAATCACAGCGATGACTTCTTCCATAGTTCTGCAGTATGACCAGTGTGCATCCAACATCATTAGATGGAGAAGGCGATATTTATACATATCGTGATATTTGATACCTTTAGACTAGAACGAGAAAATGTACCCGTTGCGTCTTCCCTTCCTTGTGTGCCGGCCATTCTGCAGCTTACAGAGCAGGTAGGTCGACCGGAAATACTGTGGTGCAATGATCGACGGCCATTGCAAGCGCCTAACTGCAGTGATGCGCTGACTCTATAACTCGCCAACAATGACTTTGCGCCGACGACTACTAGCGCCGTGCGTGTGCGCCAATCATCAGTGTGCTCGAGCCAGCTTCGTCGTCTAGGTCTGGTCATAGCCAATCCACTTTGCCGGCAGTGGCGAATCGCCAACTGTGGAGTAAGCAAGCTAGTTTAACTAATTGACAACTCGGGTATTTAGTATCTTGTGCCTCCTGTTCAGTTCAGTTCATTTCTGTTCTGTTCTGTTCCTTCCCGTTCTGTTCTGTTCCTGCCCGTTTTGCTCGGTTTCCGCTTGTTCTGGTCTCTAATCCATTATACCATGAAATCTCCTAGTGATGCTCAAAGTCTTTTGCAAAGACTCGAGAGACGTATTCCGTTCTTTGCCTCAGAAGATTCCGATTCAGAAAACCTCGATTTTGAAGGCTCCGAAGAACTCGATTTCTTGACCGCGAGCAAGAAACGGCAGGTTGTCGCTTGGAAGACTTTGCTGACTAATCACACCACGGGCAAGTCAAGAACCAATCAGCATGTTCGAATGACCGCACGGAAGTTCGCGTTGAAGGTCAAGGAAGTTGCTGGACCGGTGACGAGCTTTCTTTGCATACTAGAATACTCTATCACAGGGTTACCAAAGATTGAATATTACGGACTTTACCATGAGCTGAAAGCGTGGTCACGGCGGACGCCCTTCCCAAAGCTGCTCAAGGAGGCGGCCACGAAGTTTTGGGGCTCGTCTAATCAAGTGAAATCACTCGGCAAGAATGGCCCTCCTGGGCCTCCGGATACGGAAACTGCTCCCTCAAAAGACATAGAAGCTGAGCTGACAACTCTTTTAACACCCTGTACGGACTGCTTGTGAAGATTTTAGGATACCAACTGACTTGACTGAATTCTAGATAAAAGTACAGAAATAGACCATGGACTGGCACAGAATGCTGTGCTATCACAGCTTGGAAGTTCAACAAATATGTTCAACAGATTCGAATATCACCCCGAACAAAGCAGGCCTCTTCAAATGGCATTCAACATACCCCCGGACCTTCTGCATCACTTTTACAACATCCACAAGGACTCAAAACTCTCAGCCATCCTCACAGTCCCTGCCGAGGACCGGGTCGCGTCACTCGTTTTGTCCATCCCAAGGACTCAAGCGTTGCAAGAAGGCGATAAACACGACTTGCCCGTGATATTCGACTCTGACTATCCCTTTCAATTTGCATGATCATTCAGCGTGATCAATTTCACCTCCACCAGCATCGCCTCGAAGGGACAATCCCTAGGAATCTTGCCTATATATGTCCCTTCCACCTCAAAAACGTCCCATAACTTTTTGGTCTTTCCAACGGTCGTTTCAGCTTCGTAAACGCGAATGCACCCGAGAAGTTTACTCGATTTTTGAGGACGAAAGACGATGAGACGATCTGTTGGGTGGCCTTCTATCAGTTTTGCGTTGTGCGTGGTCCAGCGATTATCGATTTCAACGTTTGAATCGTGGAATCTGGCATCTAGCTGGATGCTGACATATCAGTGTTTGAGCTTTTGAATTCACAATGCAGTCAGACCTCTTTTGCTTTCTCCAAGATCTCCTCGAATCCTTCTGTATCTGAAGATATCCTCCTGTAGAGTTCATTCGCAGCCATGATTGCTTTGTGAGAGCGACGACTAAGAGTAAACAGAACCGGTTATTTGTGGATTGCGAGTGTCCGTACATCACCCGAAAATCGTTCCTTGCGACAAGTTCGGAGGTCATAAGAGGACGTGGGGCAGATACCCCACCTCATCATGTGACAGCAGTTATGATGGCTCAAAAGACGTTGGGTAGCAAGACTCTGGTTTTGAAGGCGTGCTTTGCGGAGCAGTCCACCCTTGCTCCAACATATTCGCCTCTACCTTTTCTCCCAGATCTTTCACGTTCAAATGGCTCCCTTGTCGAAGGTGAATATTTTTCGACCTTGGTCTATTAGACCTTTCTCACAACTTCTAGATCCATCACCTGCTCCTGTGCTAGTGCAGGGTTCTGGGTTTTGCACAGGGTCTTCCGCGATTTCTTGGGAGTTTCTGGCCGAAGCACGCAGCCTCGATTGAAAGGCCGGTAACCCCAATTGTTGCATGGGGGAGCATTCACGGGTGGGATCATTGTCGTTCGTATCGGATGATCGTAGGTAGCTCAATGCAAGTTCCATGTCTCCACAGCTCGAACGACGTAAAGGGCCGTCAGAATTGTTCCTATGGCTGGTGGTCGCCATAAGAACACAATCCTAGTTGACGCAAAACATCCAGCACCTGGAGAGGCAAAGAACTGGGAGATCGGCCCTTTCTTTGTCTCTGGCTATCATTGTATGTCAATCGATCTATCTCTCCTGTTCCTCAAGGCTGAGTCGGACTTACCCTACCTGAAGGGCCATGTCGGCAGTTAATAGCGAATTCTCGAGATATTGATACCACAGGGGACTTGCTGGTTGAGACGTCTTGGATGTCTTCCCAGAACAATTTTGAAATTGGACTGCCGATTACCGGGGCTTGGAAAAAGGAGGAGCTTCGTGTTGCAGGTGCAGAGGATGCATCTTGATATCTGAATGAGCCTAAAGGGAAGACGAAGTCAAGCAACAGTCTTGGGTACATACTTGGCAGAGAGACCCTGACAAAAAAAAACGACAAGCCCTCGCCTACCAACATGGCGTTTCAATGCACTCGTTAAAATTGGTCGAAGATGATCAACAGCGGCCCGAGAACCTTTCATCCAAGCAGTCACCAAAAATCTCAACAGCGAGTCCATGCGTTGACTTTGGCTAGATGGTCTAGAACCCAAATTAGATCATCCCTAGCTCTAGTATTATGCAGTTTGGATGGGGATACGGCGATCTCACAAACAATAACCAGGTTACCCAATGATCAGATACCCATGATTCGTGCACTTGTTAATAAAAGCTAGAATATGGGACAGAGCGAACAGAACGGAATGGGATGGAACAGAACGGAACGGAACGGAACGGGACAAAATGGGACAAAGTGATCAGCCAGTAGGAATGACTTCCTATTCTTCAGCAAGCTTATTGCTTTGGATTGAACGAGGTCGAGACCATCAAGGACTCGCTTCCTCGCTGCCGAATGTGCTCGTCAGAGCTATAAAGCCGCCAGCCTTGTTTCCGGATGCACACCGCAAGTTGACACAGACCAGCTTCGTTGCTATCTATTCATTATCTACTCAACTTTACTCAGGCCTACTCCTGCACGTTCCTTTCAGCCATGCCTGGCATCTTCTTTCATCTGAGGCGGTGCTGGAGTATTCTATGCGGTGCCTTTTCCTTCTGCCTAGAACTCAATCGTGGCACCTCATCAACATTGGATATTGAGCATCAGGCGGGTCACGATAAGGCACGATTGCATTCATACACCGCTCACACCTGTGTTATCAAAATATCCTGACGTATGCTGTGAGCAGGGTGATAAGTTCGGTTGTCAAGTGCATTACTACGACCAAGCGGCTCAAGAGAGGAGCAAGACGAGACGAAGCTCCGGTCTCCTGACTAACTTCATCGATGAGATGCTTCTCTATCCCAAAGTCAGCCCTGTGAGTACGAAATATCTTGGATAAGCTGGTTTTGAGTTGACTAATATACTGACAGAGGTCTGTGGACAGAAAAACCCCATTCATTATGTGAATACATCCTCTCAGGATACTCTTGTTGACGTCGTGAACCCGGATTTTAGTTTGGGCGTCACGGAATTAAGAGACCACGACCTGTCAGCAACTCAACAAGGGCGCAAGACGAGCCAAGGGTCTAGTGTCTTCAGTGGTAATGTGTCTGTCAACCAGGACATTGCCTTCGCAGCCGGCATAGATGGAATTTCACCTGAGATACCGGAGGGGATGAAGCTGCTCATTTGGAATTGGAAATCGCGTGATGCACAAGATTCTAGCGCCGAAAAAATCGCATCGTATCTTATCTCCGAGAGTGAGGGATACTTCCACTGTGTTCAATTCAAGGACTGGGTGAAGGAAGCAACAGGTTCTTCAGGTGCCGTGAGATTCCTCGAGTCGAAGTATGATTGTCTAAGTGCAATGCTTTACTACTATCTCAGAAGACATGCAGAAGAATATGGAAAGTACTTGGATGTGAAGAAAGTGAGTTTAGATTCCATTCCCCACTTGTCCGTCTATTGCTTATACTAACAGCCCCAAGGTCTTAAAGAAAGAGGCAGACCCTTTCCTATCCCACGCAGTTGAGCATGCCTGCAACTGCTTTGTGAGACGGAAATGGGTCGAATACAATATTAATTTTCAGTTCATTACTGATCCGCTCAAAAGAGTTCTTTCCAGAAACAGCCCAATTCAGGATATGAAACTCGACGCCTTGGCAGTACGCTTTACACGCTGGTATAGTAGTCCTGAGCGCGTCTGGTTGCAGGAGTTTGACACTCGGACTGACTTTCTCGACCAATTGTACCACATGAAACCTGAGGCATTGGCAATCCAGCTTTCGAACGCAGATCTCTGTCTCTTTCAAGGTCTTACTGTTGACAGTCTTATGAAGGGCAGCGGCGATGTACTGTCGACTCTTAATACTCGTTGGAACAACCTTTCCTGTGAATCAGAAGAATGTTCAACTGCCGGCTTTAATTCAAAGTTGGTCGAATTGATTCAGGTAAATTCGAATTCGTCATGCCTTTATTCTTGCCTCTTTTAATATTCGTTCCAGGAACTTCATCGTCTGAGTAACTTTTACTCGTTGACAGCAATCCTTCTGGGCGTCCAGTCAAGAGGGGGGCGACTACCAGCGCTCGAGGAATTTAGCTATATGATGGATTCTAACGAAAACTACTTGCTGTATAGGCAGTGCGTTTCTCCTGGGCCTGCCCTTCACTTTCTACTCCCTTTCATACGGATCCGACTTCAAAAGGCTGCGGCTGCTTTGATGGTAGTATCTGCCGCTCGGGAATACATGTCAAATGCTAAGCTGAGGCTCTCGCCCCACAATTAGCCTTCTGCCGTTCGTGTGTTTTCTAGGTCTGCGGTTAGATCGAACTTTCTCATTACCACTGTCCTCTTCTTCGATGTATTTTTATGCCCTTGTTCGCTCAGCCTCTTAATCTTTTAGCTGGTATTAGATCAGGACTGGAAACGGGAAGTCACTAAATGTCCAAATCAAACAAGTACTCTTAATCTGATGCAGTATAGATTGCATGCCTTTTCTTCTCTTGTCCGGACCAGCGAGCAAGATCCGATGTTTCCGGTGACTAGGACCATGAGGAGACCAGGAGATGTACTGAAAGACGACTGGGAACGATAGAAATCCCGTGGGCGGGTTAGAGAGGATTCTGTCGCCAACTTCACGCAAGTGGGGGAGATCAACATTGACGATGAGGCGAGCGGATCGATTTTGAGAAGCTGCGACCGCTTGACCAAGACATAAGCTGCATGGTTGCCTTCAGGACGGCTGAGACTTCGCCTTTGTCAATCACCTGCTGAATAGTATAAGGGATGGAAGAAACAATCGCCGGGCCACACCTCAGCAACAGGAGCTCCGAGAAGTGGCAGAGCACTGTGAAGAGAAAAGAAAGAGTACCTTTGCTTTTGAACGAGGCGGTAGATAGTTAATTGTCGAAATAATTATCAAGCCCTCCATGAGTGATTATTCAACTATTCTCCGGAAAAATACCTGTGCCGGGAGCCGTGAGCAGCCGACCTCACCATTTGTCACTGGTCGTCACGAAGCTCCCCCTTTCCAACAGTTGATGGCACGATCACAGCTCTCCAGACTACAAAAGTCTCTTTTTGCAGGAAGAAGAGAGGAAGCTTGCAGAAGATGAAGGATGACGCGAGAAAGAGAGGCGGGAGCCGGCCGAATCACAACGAAACCAGATTGAAGAACGCACCTGTCAGACAACTTTCCTGGAATTCCTACGCCACTGCCACAACCTACTCTCCCGACCTTTGAAAGTCGCAAACCCGTCTCGCTCGACCACCGGGACGATACCCCTCCCTAAGGGCGTCAACAGCAAGCCATCTACGACAGGGTATGCACCTACCTACAATCTACTGATGAATTCCGAGCACAATACTTCCCTCCCGTGATTACACTTGAAGAGTTTGCTAGGCGTTTCGCTCTTCGGCCTATCAGCAGTGAACAAGGCATCGAGACTTGTGAACGGATCACTGTGGAAGATCATGTGCGCGACATTATTTGAGAGCTGGGGCAAGATTCCGGCTGCTCGAGAGGAGTCTACGCTTGGTGATGGTATTTGGTTCGACAACCACACCAATGCGTTGACCGAAAGCCAGGCTGAATTAGACGCAAATAATCCTCATATTTCACGCCGTCCGCGGCCCGACCAATTTTGCATTCACCGCGTGTGCGGTAGCACCAATTCCCTCCTCGCCGTTGAATATAAGCCACCGCATAAACTTTCCGTGGAGACCCTCCGGGCAGGAGTACGACCGATGGAATTGTGGGAAGAGATGGTCAAATGCAACGCAGTGCCTACGGACCCTATGGAGAAACTTAGATACGAATGGATCGTCCAATTCCAGCTCTCAAACTTGACTATTGTGTAATCCCTTGGGTTATGTGAAAACGTTGATTCAGATGTGAAGCTTCAGGACTGGTATTACGGACTATCGTGTACTAAGGAGCATATCGCACCAAGCGCCGAACCGCTCGACAACAGCGAGGATCAAGATTATTATCCACATGACTTTTTTAGGTATGCTGCTAGATATACATCTCCTGTCTGCCGAACTCCTTCGAAAATTTCTGATTCGATTCCGCGGCTAACTCCAGGTATTTATAGCTCACCTGGCTAGCATCCGCCTCAGCGAGAGCATGTGCGACTGCTGCGATGTTTTTGATCTAGTTCATGCTAGTCAGCCTGTGAGAAGTGCAAAGCAGCGCTTCAGAACCCACCTCTCGTCCATTGAGAGCTAAAGACTCCAGTCGTCGGAGGTCATGCTCCTCGATCATAGCAGGTCCTTGGACTGTACGTGCCCTAGTCAGAAAAGTTGACCACAGACCCTTGCGAAAATCCCTGCTTAGGTCTTTGTACTTGATGGTTAAATGAATCCGACTAAGGATCGCCTCATCAAGCTGGATACCGCGATTCGAAGTTAGGAAAAGAATTCCTTGATAATATTCCAGCTTTCGGAGGAAAACCGTCACCAGGCGATTGTGAGTACCGTGGTAAGATGTACGCTGCTCCATGAACGCATCTGCCTCATCCAAGAGAAGCACGGCTTTGAAGTGTTTCGCAGTCTTGAATATTGTTTCAAGTTGTTGCTCAAGTGCATTGGAATCTCCGTGGTCGACGACAAGTTCGCCTGCGGATATCTGGGAAAGTTAGGGAGGCCACAATTAGCGCCGCGACGGGTTCCTACCGAATAGAGAGGCAGCTTGAAATATTCTGAGGTTGCTTCAACCGTGAACGTCTTTCCGACGCCAGGTGGGCCACTAGCACGGGTTAAAGTGGAAACCTCGACATAGTAATAGAAAATTTGCTGACATACTCCAGAAGGATGCTGAGTCCTTGACCTTTCCCATCAATTACGTCGTCGAATGGTACCGTGGGTATCAATCCCAGACGGGTTTTCGCCATTGACAAGAGGAGCTTCTTAGTCTCTGAAGGGATCTGCAGACAGTCGAGCGATTCGGGGGACCAATCCACGTTCCCAAGAGCACTGACTGCGCATTCCACTGGAGCCATATTAGTCCGGCGCCAAGATACTGTCACTTCTTTCACATACAGAACATTTTCTCCTTGAAACTGAAACAGCATACAGTTGGGCTAGTAACCAAGAAATTGGCTTCGCACAACTTTTGCGCCTCCATGCCGTCTCCTTGCATTCTCTCCTTCTGCCGCTCCCGGTCCTCCATGAGCATCGCACCTAGGTTAATTACCGCAATTCCATTCTTGCCCTTGGCCCCTAGGTCGCGGAGTGACGGTCGGGAGTAGTTTGGCTGCATATCATGGAAAAATGCGGCGTCCACTCCCACTCGACTGTTGATGTTGACTCTGATTGCCTTTCCTTTGTTCATAAAGAATGCGCTGCCATTGCAGTGCCGAATGTGCGAGCCGGCCAAATCCCGAAACTTTTGGCCTCTCTCGACCAAGTCTTTTCGGACTTGCTGGTGCCTTGGATGGTAGCAGAGAGGGAAGGCCTCAAGGGTCTCGATTGGCTTTGACCCACGGAACTTTGGCACACGCGGAAAGACTCCGGCCTCGCCAAACTTGACTCCGTCATAATCAAGGAATCGGCATTCGAGATTAAACCACGTCTCGCCATCTTGTGTTATCTCTTCCCCTGCGTCAAATATAACACATCGCGGCTCTTTTGTGGCGAAGCATGTCGTGAAAACATGGGAACCCGGTTTGAAAAGCGCCCAGAGAAGGTCATAAGTAATGTGGCCGTGCTCCAGCATTGACTCGACACGCTGCGAGATGGAGGAAAACGCTTGCTTGAGGTGGTCGACGAGCAAGCGGAGGCACTGCCGCGGGAACGCGCAGTCTGAGTTGTTCATATTCTCCGCGTATTTGTCGAGCTCCGGGAGGAAATGAAAAAGGATGTTTCGCTCGATCTAGACCCGGTCAGCAATCTTCTCAGATATGATACTCTTTTCTTAGTTACCGATGGTTTTTCCTCCATCAGGCTAATGGCTTTGATGTCGTGCAGTACTACCCGCAGGACGTTGCGCAGGCCTTCAGATTTGATGTCTATGTAAGTCGTGACTTTCTCAGAATTTCGTTCTAATCGTACCGTTAGTATTGCTTCGGCTTGCGAAAAAAATATTACGTACCAACACGTTCGCGAACAACGAATGCATATTCAACATAGTCGTCTAGACTACTGCTGGTCTTTACTGGCTCTCCGATTTTGTATCTGCTCGCGCCTTTGTCCCAGCTATATCGGCGTCAGCTAGTTGCTGGAAAGTGATGGGAGGAGGGGTTTGAGGCTTACATTTCCACGACCGTCTTCAATTGGGGTGTCGAGGCCCACTTTTCGAACGATTTGAAATCTTCCGGGGTAGTGCAGATTGGACTCTTGAGATCAATTTCATCTACCACCTGAACGTTCTCTTCCTGTTCCTTACTAGCACACGGGGCCTGGGCAGGCTTAGTAGCCACAGCTGGTCCAACTGAAGAATGCCCTTCGTCGATCAGTCTTTGCCACCTATTGCCCGTCAGTGAACTTGAAACATAATGCTTGGAGTGGGGAAACTGTACTTTTCAAGGATGATTTTGTAGTCTGGTATGGAGGCTCCAACTTTTTCCTCTTTGTGCTGGTTGTCGACCAGATCACTTTCCGCAATCTCCGAAGTCGATTGAGGTTTGTGTTCCAGCACAGCTTGGAGCAGACATTTCAACTGACCCATTGTAACCAGCTCCTCGGACCGAGAATCTGGACTATGCTGCTTTTCGGCCATGAGATTTTCGGGGTTGACCTCTCCAGCGTCGAAAGTGCCAAGGGAGTCAAAGTCAGTACAGTCAGACTGACAGCTGGTCTCAGCAATGTCTATCAACTGCTTCTCCAGTTCGTGGGTATCAAGCGGCGGCGTGGATGGTCCAAAGGCACAGACCGGAGTGGTTGGCTGCCCACCGGGCCATGTAGCCGGGTTGGACAAGGCTTGCTTCACCAGTTCAGTCACGACTGACACCAGCTCTCCAGCAACGAGAGTGGGCAAAGGCTTTCTCTCTAGTCCCCGGTCAACAGCTTGGGGGACTGGAGGGGACGCGTTAATGTCTTGGTGAGTTGCAACCATATTAGCTGATGTACTGTGATTGGTAATGGTGTCTTGGAGCAGATTGGTACGATGAGGGCTCGAATGTCAATGATAACGATATAAAAACGAATTCAGGAGGAAACACGCCGCCTTTTATGTCTGCCGCAGAGATACTTCAATATAGGCCCCTCTCCTCGCTCCCTCCCTCTCGTACTACTCCTTTTCGACCGACGGAGGAATCATGCTAGCATTCTTCGGGATGCTTGGTCATGGTCTCGACCACAGCACGATCTGAATAACATTGTGCCGCGAGATGCGCTACGGAGGGCTCGGACAGGCTGTATTGTGCGGGATCTTCCAACTGGCTATCCTGAAATACTAAACTGTGTCGATCGTGTAGTCTCTTCTAACTGGAAGCTCAGAGGATACGTACCTGTAGCCATTATCACTTCCTTGGATAGCTAGCTACAGACTACTCAATACTAGCAGAATTAGTGACATCGTCGAGAAACAAAAAAATCGTCATCTCAGTAATTTGCGAGGGCTTTAAAAACTTTGATCGGGCAGCACATTGTTTGGGCCGTAGATTGGCCGAGTCATGCATCATAGTGGGGCATTCACATGGGCTGGAGCCTATTTAAGCGACCGTCAGCTTGCTTCTGAATTTTTAACAGCCAGGAATTTTCCCGAGTTTTATCAAACTAGGGCAACATGTCTGCGGGCGCGGTCCTCTCTCAGTTCTCGAATTTGCTTAACCACATGGAAAGTTTGGGTCCCAAATTGAGCTCTAAAATTCGTCCAAACCGCGAGCAGCTGGACGAAATTCAGAAACTTAGCATGCAACTCAAAACAGCTGTGGCAGGTATTGAATCTCATGTGGAACTTCTATTGCGAAGGGCAGGTCCAACAGACAAAGAACGAGCCCTTGCAAACCAAATTAAAGCTGCCGATGAATTCGACCCCGCAATCTTCCGAAAAAATCTGGTGCTTATCTTTCGGGGTCCAGATGAGTCTGTATTGGATCCCACCAAAGTACAAATCAGGAAAGCCAAATCCCGGACCCGATGTGAAAAACTTCGCGTCGAATCTCATCACTTGGTTTTGAAGTGGGCAATGTCTTTTCCACAGCCATCCGCATGGATACACCCAACGGTCATGGCGGATGGCACCTTCGATTTTCTCATCCAAGACTTGAAGGAGGTAACTTTTGATCAAATACCGCCAAAGATTTTCGAAAGCCTACTTTGCCTGAAGGACGAGGAACCTTTGGATACTTGCGAGCAATTCCAGAGCTTTGTTAAAAACATAGAGAGACCAACTATTGTGGAAGAACCAGAACCTGTGGTGCAATACAAACGGAAGCGTACAGACCAAGGCTCACCACCTCAAAGAGAACTTCGTGACCCAGAGACTAATAATGACAAACAGATGATAGAACAAAGAAGCAAAGGTAAGTTAGAAGCAACGCCATTTCATGCATAGAGACTGATGCTAAAATGATAATAGAAATCGACTATAAAATGGCGTCCATGCCAACCAGCAAGCTACCACATTTCATTGAACGACTTTCAGGGGCGATAACGAGTAGCGAGCAATGGAAATGGGAAAGACGACTCTTTGCTGAGAGATTGGGGGGTAGCGGTTCAGATAGAACAGATTGCCTCAATTTTTTCGTGCCGAAAGACCGAAGTCAGGATATTTCAATCGTCTTAGTGGTTGGCCGTCGTGCCGGCTTCGACTTGATATATGAAGCAGAAGTTGAGATTATTCGCGCGTGAAAGTCACTGTTGCTCCTATCACAGGAGCAGCAATCACACTCACTTGGCATCCGGCAGGCACAATTGCAGTTTCTTCCATCGCAGGGTCTTGTCCATTCTCCCAAACGGCAGGAGATCGGGGATCCGCTTTCGGGTCAAAAACGACTATCGATTCTCCCTGTGCTGCTATTCTTCTCCTGTAGTCTGTCTCCCGAAAAAGAGCTGCACCTTTTATTTTGTACGTGTGACCTTCCACCGCTATAATTCCACCTTCTTCGGCCATCTCAGATGTCTTTCTTTCTTTCCTTGAAGCTTCAATGTAGAACAGGCGATAGGATATTCGAATACGGAGGATGGAATCTCGAATCGGTTTTTGGCAGAAGGTTGCGGGAAAAGTATTCCGCAAGTAACGATGCCGCTTAAATCAAATTTCAGATAATGGGGGGACGAGTAACACGTGACGGTTGCGGCCTAATCGGGTAGACACGGCATGTCAGTCGACGACGAGTATGGAATGTGTCGAAGGGCTGGCTTACCTCAAGATCTGAATGGGAGGGACGTCAAATTTCCTTGCTCAAAAAAAATGGAATAACTAATCTCATCAAGCTTAGCATGGCTATTTGGGCCTTTTCTAGGTCAGTAACGACTCCGGACGATTCAACGGGCCTTCCTCACTGTTGCTAGCTGTGGTCCAGGAAAGAGTTCAAGATATGCGCTGACTGTGATGAGACCTGACAGAAACCAGAGAACCATGGCACTTAAAGCTGCCGCCCTAAGAGTCCGTTGATGTTTGGAGGGTTGATTCTGGAAGAGATCCGGATTTCGAGAAGATATTGGGTACGAAGTGTTTACCCGGTCGCAAATTCGCCAGAGCTGATGGTACTGGATCGCGAAAAAGAGTATCTCAGCAGTCGTGAGTAAAATAATTGATGCGTAGAGAATGTGACGAATTCGGCGTTGTATTTGGTCGAGAAAGAAACTGTTCGACTGAGTTATGATTATAACCGACCGAGGTTGAGAACAAGACTTACGTTAGCAGTAGCAAAGTTTTGGAGATAGGAAAGATGATGAAAGTACGAGTTGACCGGAGACGTTGGTTAACAAGGCCGAGAAACTCGTTGATGTCAGCAGGTTTACCATTGAAATAGAGTATTTTTTACCTCGTTTATCGGTGGCAGAAGAAGAAGGAATCCCAGCTCGACTGTCAGAGCAGGCCTTGAAGGATCTGGGCGTAGCACTCAGCTGGGTGAGGAGAGAAGCTTGGATGCTACTCACCGCTTCGGAGGACTGGCTGGAAAACAGCCAATGCCACTGACCCAATGAGGCCAGTCCAAACCAGAGCTCCTACCACAGCCTGTGAGAAAACGTAGGGGTTTTGGCGGAGTAAGACAAGTCGGGACGGATGTCCATCGCAAACCAAGGCAAACCAGAGTACGAGAGATAACCCAGCGCAGAACGATGCCACCGTTGAAACGATAATTTGGGATACATCAAGCTCTGCCATTTTGATTAATCATTTTATTTCCCTTCACAGTTGGTTCAATGGACTATTTACGATATTATTTTGCTTTACGACTGCCTTCAAGGAATCTTGGAAAGCCACACATTTTATGATTTTTTTAAAGTCATCGATTGTCTTATGGATTATTATTTTCGGTCGGTCAGAAGAAACAATGACTTCTCAAGTTCTGGGTCTTTTATTAGATTTAGGAGGCAAGCTGAGCCGGCAATCTATCCCGAGAAAGTGTGATGGAACACCCCATCTTGTGACCTGCTGCTTAACAGTTAATTGGCTACAGGCCACCTTCAGCCGCCAAATAGAATATTAAGTTCCGCCCGATCTGCTGTGTTGAACCCGATCGCGCCCTGTAATCAGCCTCAAGTGACATGGGCACCCCGACTATCATCCCTTTACCGCACCAAACAGCGCGCACGTCCGTTCAAAAAAGTACTTTTGGGCTCCAGCGTTTGAGTCACGAGCGCCATAGTATGTCGCTCGAGAGCCGTTGTCCCATACATGAACAATGAGAACGCGCAAACCAGCCTTCGCACCACCCCTTCTAAAACAGAAGATGTGGCCTGGATCTCGTCTGTATCGCAGATAGAGCCCAGACCGAACCATTCTTGACCATTCAAGGGCACACAGCGCACGGACAGGTGCCTTGGACCCAAATTGGGGCCTCGCTGAAGCCTATTGATCAACACAGCTGCTCAGTAATATCCATTGATTGGTGCTAGTGAGCCATCTTTAGCGCCAAATGCAGGTGCCATCACACTCGAGTTAACTAGGAGGAGGCATCCTCAGTGATTCTACATGCAGGACAGACCCGTTAGAAATCATCCGGTGCTCACGAGGCTATTGGATATAGTGGCCTCGCCAGTTGTTATGCCCAGGTGACCTGTCACGTCTATTACCCCGCTTTCTTGTTGTTTTAAGAGCGCGAAAGGAACAGTTGTGACTTGAACTTTTCAACAATCACGTTCGTGGTTTTGATTCCTATAACCTAGTCGACAGACTGCCTGCTCTGCCTGCTTTCCTAAACCGCTTCTCAGACGTACACCCGATTGCCAAATCCTTTCAAGTATAGTACACGTGCCCTCTGTTGCTGATCGGTGGTCCCCTAATTAATATCTATATAGTCTCTGCCTCCGTCATGGCTTGTGAATCCGACATAACCGGTCCCGTGAACGCGATCAAATGTTGCACCTGCGGACAGGAGAAGAGCTTTGTCCATGCGGACTGTGGCGCTTGTTATGCCTGTTGCAATTGCTCCAAGAAAAAGGAGTAAACGATCGGAGGCGGGAGGCGAATAGCTGCAATGTTTTTTTCTTTTTGAACTGTCACTGAAGCTGCTTGACCGGCAACCAACCATGAGGTTGCACCTGAATAATGACTCTGCGGGCTCTTGTGGAACAGTTTACGAAATCAATCGCAGCACATAAGGGGTGTGAGACACCAAGTACATAAGACCTCCCGTTCTGAAATCCATTTCATATTTGCGATGGCTTGAACTCATGCTTCTCGCATATCCAGACGTCGTTGGCGTCTACAATACAAATGCAACCCATTCAATGCAGAGCATATCTCAACGTCATCAGGATGGCTTGGAAGGCTATAGGCATCATAATCAAGCCACATTTGCCTTGTCCTCGGAGATTCAGCATCTGCCAATGGTTTCCTGTGGAGTGCCATGGTTAGACATATTCAGCGATCGATAAAGCGAACTTACTCATTGCTATTGAAGACTTCAAAACCGGTGGAAATGATGAGCAAAGGCCGAGCAAGATCAGCGATGATTTGCTTGACTGGTGCGGCAGCAAATGGTGATATTATGATCGAGTCCTCGTCAATTTCCGCGAATCCTCCTGCACCGTGAGTCCCAACAATTTTGAATTCCTTCTTGGTTAGGATGTCTTCTGCGACCTTCGTATATTCTGGGTCCTGAGCAAGTAATGGCAATGTTTCATTGCCACGACAAAGTTGAGCAATAGTAAGAGCCATCGAATGCTGAATCATGCAGCCCATCACATTTTTCACCTCCAAGTTCTCATCCCAAGAGTCGTGCTGCTTTTTTAGCCACTCAGGCGCGGAGCGGCAAAAATCACCGAGCCCAAAGCAGAGAATCTTCTTCACAGTGTTCGTACCGAGTACATCTTGGACCAAGGCTGCCAACTGCCTGCAGGTCTTGCTGTTCTGCCACAACAATTGTTTCTCGTCAAAGACTTGCATAGGCTGTGCTATAAGCTCTCGAAAGTTTCGTGCAGTCTGATTGCTCCAATCCACGATGTAAGAGCATAGGTAAGTCTCGATCGGGCCGTTGGGTTGTGCTTTCACAAGTTGCCAATATTCTTGGTACTTGACATGAGGTTTCCTAAGGAAGACTTAGATTGCAGGCTGAAAATGGGCCAAAATATTATATCCCCGTACCAGATAGGATTCTGCACTTGGAACATGGGATTGTAGATTTGGATTATGCTTCCATCTATTCGACGGACTGAAAATCTTTCCATCGTATAGGACTGGCGCAATTGTTGCTCTATGTCTTCGAGATCCTTTTTCGTCCAGAGCCTGGTACCAGAACTGTACAGATCTGCGGCTCTTTGACTACTGATCCGCCAATCCGTGCATCCGTAGTTGAGCGGTCTTAGTGTTTGGTGCATGGTCTCGTAGCTGCTGGTCGAGCAAGGGAAAGGAACAAACAATGTGGGGAATTGGCGGGAGGAGGACTGAACTGTGATATCCGATGATTGTCTATTTCTGAGAATGGCGCAATGTCGGACACAGCAACAACGTTCACTTTGATGGATTAAGAAAAATTCGACCACATTGGAGGCTCTTCTGTTGACTACCTAACTACTTAAGTACTGGGCAGGTAAGGGGCCCAAGAGGAAAAATAAAATTCCGGTCACCGCTCTACTAGTCCAGGGCGATATCAAATGTTGTACCAGATTTCACGTCCAATTCTACACCGCCTTTATACCCTATCGTCAATTGGGATGGGCCCCCGATCCCCATTTTCAAGCTCCAGGCGCAGCTCAATCAGGATCTGGATCATAACTGCACTCCCATCGACCCCTGTGGGTCCTCCGGCGCACCATTCAAGATTACGTGTGCCACCTTTGGATATACCGTTGTCGGGAAAGGGACGATGTCGAGACTCTGGGGGGAGGTCTCGCGCGAAGCCGAGGTCTACCGGGCCCTCCAGCGTGCCCAAGAATCGGCGGTTCCCGTCTTCATCGGGACGATCAACTCGGCCCAGACTTACTTCCTCCACGGCGCGGGAAGGATCCGTCATATGCTCCTCATGGGCTGGGGTGGCGAAAGCGTGGGCCATAGTACCTTAGACAAGACCATTCCAGCATGCGATTTCTCGGTCGGTGAACGACAGAAAGTCAGCGCTATACCGTAAGGGGCGGGTGGATGACCGGCGGCGGCAGGCGGTTGCGGGCGGCAGATGGGGCGGTGCAAAGGGAGCCGTTTACCGCGCCCAGCTTGCCGTCCGTTCTTTTACCTTGTCGCAGTTGCGTTTTTCTTCGGGCCATGGTTTATTGTCTCTGTGGGTTCCGCGTCCCTGGTTTCTGGTTCCTCCAAGCCCGTCGTCCCTGGATCGCGATCCTCAGCGGACCGTGGTCCGTTGTGGCTCATCGTCAACGGCTGCTAGTCCCCGATGGGTCTCGGTCCGCACATCTTGGTCTCCTTAGGCTCGTCAACCCGCGCCCGATTCTGCCTCGTAGTGCCGCCTGGCTAGGTTCATAACAGTATTCCGCGGGATATCACTGCAGGGGAGCTTTCCCCGTTTGTAGATATGCTGAATATATGGTGGGTTCCTGGGTGCGAAACTTATTAGCTTATGAACATTGGGACACTTGGGATCTATCAGACCATTCTCAAGAAGTGATATCCTCGATCCTAGGAACACAATGGTTGTTCGAAGAAACACTAAAGGCCCCTGGAACCATGGCGTTAGTTCTCGGGAACATTAGGCCTATACTTGGTAACTCCGCTTCTGCAGGCCTCTATGAGCTGTCATTTACTTCAAGGCGGATAGAAGTGGTATACAAGTTATATTAAGAGCATTTCTCCCACTCCATCAAATTGATTGGCCGAATGAGACCTACTGAAGGCTTCACATCTGCGGCCACGTCCAGCCAATCATAGCCTTTACCGCACTCTAACAACTATTGCACGAAAACTCCTCCTTTCTCCACATCGGAGTAGCAAAAGAGGTTCCATATGAATTCAGACGTTCAGCCATTCAATCACCGTTCCAACTCGTGTGGATAGCTATTGGATTTTATCCTATCATCAGACTCGGGCCATGTTTCATCCCTCTGAATCATATACATAGTCTATGTAGATTCGATGTTGCCTTCAGATGTCTCCGACTCTTGGCGGCCGTGCCGGGTATGACGCGATCGTAGAATGTCCTCGGTTGTTTTCCGAATGGGCGTAGGATAGTACTTTTCCTGTAGGGGATTAGTGTCTTGCACTGCCCACTGGAAAGGAATCCTACCAATTGTGACTCAAAGGAGGACCAAACCCACTCGGATCAGCTAAGAAGGTGTACACCCGACCAGAACCCCGTAATCGGATGCCTAGACAAACATCCGCTTCGCAGAACTTGCTATACTCATAGGCCTTTTTAATGATGCCTTCCCTTCGCCGTTCTCTCATTTGCCGGAATGCCTTCCTTGAAGGGGCTCCCTTTTTCTTGTTCTCATGGAGAGGGGTCTCTAATGCCATATCGCGAATACTATTAGAAATGCAGCCAGATGATGTAGAGAATCACAAATATTTCTTCGTTAAAGCAGGGTTCTAGTTTAGATATATGAGTTAGGGGAGCCATGGTTTTCGGATCATACCAAAATCGTGGTCTTCAGCAGAGAGACAATCTATGGGAGTTCAACACCATCAATTATCTGAGGACCTCAGGCTTTGCCCATTCCTTGTCGAGTTGACCGTTCACCTCATGTTGACCAGCAAGATTTGAGATTTGCCTGGTCAACTCGCGAAGAGATGATCAACAAATGAAATAGCCGGCGCCGTTTGGTTACGTCATAAACAAATGGATTACGTTGACCACCACATAAACAGGTAGTCATGGGAACCACCAATAAAAACGCCCCACATGTTAAGCTACGGATGAAAGGTCAGGCAGGGTTGAACGGTCAAAGGACAAGAAGCATTGCCCTCATCTGGTTAATGACCTGGGCAAATATCCATGCATCTGGCGTTCATTGTCAAGTGCTCCGGTTTTGAGCACCCGAAAGTCCTAGATTTTGTTTCCTGGCTGCACTCTGGGCTTCAGGTCCCTGACCGTGCGGTTCTAATATCTCCAGTCATGGAGAGAATATACTAGAATTGATGCCAAGGCGTGCTTGAGAGTGAATATGGAGAATTATACCTATTGATTCTGGGCGCCGCCCTACCTTGGTCAACGAGACCGGCTCCTACCATGGGGTATGGCAGTTGATTTTGGCTGGTTGACGGGCCCTATGCTCTCGTGTACCAGTCCCGTACCCAAGCAGCACAGTCGGCTTACATCCAAGAAAGAGCTTCTGCGCAATAATACACCAACGACATATCACGAGTGACAGACTGATTCTGTTTATTGTTGAGCCATCCTAAGGACTTGTGTCCAACATGCTAGGATGCTGGAGCGCTTCGTGCGCTTAACCCGGGCTTCTTGACGTCCTTGGCACCCGTCGGCGGCTTCCATACTGCCTCGACACACCCCGACTATCAATGATGCCTGGTAGATCCTAAGTCAAAGTGTTCAACCTTCTGTGCTTGAGGTCTTCCGACCCGTGAACTACTGGTGTGTTCTCGGTCAAGGAAGGGAGGGAATGGTTAATGGACTCGAACTGCTCTTTTCTTTGACTGTCGCCCGAAATTACAACGCAGCTCTCGTCCCCGGGGATCTTCCATCGATCTTGGCTGATTAACCAGCCTGTCCTCTTAATTATTTACCTGGGCAAACACGCCTATTGGCTGATAGAGAGCTTATCAAAAGCCCGCAGGCCATTGTCCTATTAACGGGCAAGGCATTTCAGAGGGCTATGCGAGCCTAGACCAGCGTTCGCACATTGCGAAAGAGCTTCTGTCATACGCCATTCTTTTGATGAGCGGAGGGGGTTGAACATCGCTCCGTGATCGAGACCCATGGTGAATCTGTGTCCATGATCATTGGCTTAGCGTTCTCCTTTCTCCACCTTGGAGTACCGGCCATAAAACGTCTCTATGGAAACCCCTGGAAGATCCCGACACCGCGCCATTATAAATCAACCGCAGCGGTACTATGGTAGGGCTGCCCTGTCAGGAACCATGGAGGCAGCAATTTACGCCCTAACAAGCGAAAAAATCGACGAGATATTCGCGCTTTTCGGGATTAAGAAGAGTGAGCGGATAGACCCACTTATCACCGAGCTGTCTGGTATAGGTGAGTAGGTGGCTTGCATTTATAGTGCGATCCCTGGCTAATATGCATTCCTGTCCGTGAAACTCTACTTGAGGCTGGAATAAATGAAAAAGAAACGCCCTTCTCGCATCTCGTTGGTTCTCTCTCCCAAGAACACCCCGCTACGTCTCACGGAATTCGAGGATCTTATCGGCTCCTAGATAGCGGAAAGAGGGGTTTACCAGATGTCAAGGGTCTATGCGCACCCACCCGGAAGAAGAGGAGGCATAAAGCGACTTTGAAGGGTAAGAACAACCGCGGTTGGGGCGTAAAATCCAAGCATGCGCGATTAGGGGTTTGATCAAACTAACAACGTCATTTATTAGGCGACGGCACCAACGGCGAAGAACAGATATCGAACGAACTGGCTAAGACAAAGGACGATCTTGGAGGTCGTATACTAGTGACCGAGGAGGCTGTGGAAGCCAACAAAAAATGCGATGATCAGGCGATTGCTTCTACTGCTACGCCTGATGACCTACCCGCAGACGAAGTTACTGTCTCAACATCATCCCAAATCGAAACAGAATCCCAGCCGATACCTCAAAAGCCTTCAGCTGTGAGTGATCACTTATCTGACAGCCATTATTCTGGCGGCCCGTACGCATTTCTAAAGACTACTTCATGTAGACGTCGGCGAACATCAAGAGCCCGGGTGATTCATCTTCAGGTGTACCTCTCGTTAGACGTCTTCCGCCATGGCTGGATTCTGGTTATGCATCAAAGGTGGTGACGACGGTATTAGTGAACTGTGTCAGGCTTAATACGGCAATCGGACTACATGGCCCCCTGACGGTGAAGGTGAGATTAACTACGGATCCTTCCAAGGTCCAGCAGTACGCGGAGGGTATATCCGAACTTGAATATTACCAAGCAGTCGAGGTGGTGAAAAGAGATCATGCGGCTGTAGCAGGCAGGAACCTCCAGACTTGGTTCAATGAGACAGTATACTGGGATATTATTTTGAAAGGAGCAAAACGTATCGAACCGACTACATTGCCAAGGTCGAAAGGGCCTGACGATGGATTCACCCCCGCTGAGAAGGCTGCCACCAAGAGACTGATGGAAGATCTCGGATACGGACTAAGTCCGGAAAGTCAGCGCCAGCAACGCCGGTTGTGGAAAAGTCTGTTCGACATGCGACGAGCGGGCATCAGCAAATTCCTCTTCTATCGCACCCAAGAATTCGACAGTTACTGTAAAACCTATCCGCAGAGAGCGGTGACTTCCCTGATCGATACAGTCACGGAGTGGGAAAGGATATATAAACCACATTTTGAGCAACTAGAATACCTAGTCACACGCTTTATGAAAGGTGACATTGCGCGCAGATCATGCTTGCGAATTCCACCCGTGGCTGCAAGACTCACCGTTCCAGAACAATCATGGAATGATGCCAGCAATGCATGGTTCTCTGCTGATGAGGAAGCTAGCTTCGCGCTGGAGAATGAGGCTATAGCGGTCCCGCCCGACAACCTGGGTGTTGCATTCGGCGGCAGGTCAATTTTGCAAGACGAAAGAGACAAGTCTATCTTCATGCTTCTTGCACCCAGAGATGATGACCAAGTCCTTTCTGTGCGTTCTCTCATTCCAGTGCATGAAGGTGACTTTCTTGGGGTGTTTTCGGGGACAATCCGATTTACTCCAGAGTTCGAGCCGAAGTGGGGGATCCCTGGTCCCCGAGAAAATCTCTGGCTGGATTATTCTCAGGTCACTGGGACCCTAAATCAGATGCGAGTTTCGCGGATTGGTGATCTCGCTAATGTTCAGCTTCACTGGGAGCTGTTTAGCGAGTCGGATGCATCACAGCCACGCTTGCTATGGAGGGTTTCAGTCAAGGCACTGAAGACCATCGGGCCCATGGAAGAGCTTATCAGAGAAGCCCCTCACGAGGATCAATATTTTCTGCATCAGTCAGCAGATTATGCACAAAGGGGTTTCATTAATAGAGCGCTCTAGGATTATTCTATCGTTGTGCTATAAGCAAATAATATGCTGGATTGAAGAGAATGTTCCACAGTGACCGCGATCATCACAATCAGGGAGCCTTCAGGGCGAGTAGCAGTAATCGAGAGCATAATGATCTTGGGTCCTTGAATGTACGTTCTGCACGCAAAAACATGCATGCGACCTGCAGCTTTTTAATATACCCTCGGATCCTGGAGTCACACCAGCAAGAAGGACTCGGGAATATTTTGGAAACAGGTCCGGCTCGGATAAACGATGATCTACAATCCAGGACGCCACTCGTCTCCATCCTTTCCCTACAGCGTATTGCCAGGAACGGCAGAGCAGTCGTCGGAGCGGCGGTGTTCCTAGAAGAGCCAGCGTCGTTTCTAGGAACTTGTGCACGGTTCCCTGGAGCTTATTCTCTTTCACGGCGTTGATGACCTCGGATAAACATAATCTGACGCCCCACTTCAGCGCTTCGGCGCCCAGACCTTACCAGGATTCTGGGGCGAATCTGGGCATGAGGGTTGTCGAGCCGAAACAGGGGTTGTACTATCTATGGGCTGAGAGCCTGAATTTTCCAGCAAGGAAGAATAGGGCCAGACTTCAGCAGTGTGCTTCAGCAGTGTCCAGACCGACAGAAGCAGATATTATTGGCCAGAGAGCCCGCAGATAAGCCTTGGCATGAACATGTCAGCCAAACCGTCAGCCTCAGAAGGCCAACGATGAAGTGTTGGAGACGAGATCATTCAAGATACGGGCATCCTACGCCGCAAGCCACATGACCGATCTGGCCTAAGGCCCGTTAAGGAGATCTGACTGGAGGTCTAAGCCCAAATCAGACATAGGCTTGTGGTCTCAACACCCTAAGGTCAGAGGAGCCAGAGCAAAGGCCTAAGGTGGTAGGTCCAGACGCTGATGACCCGGGCGGTAAGATGGAGTGCATACGCCCTGAGAGGTAGCACCCAGCAGGCTAGACCCTGCGCTCCCGACCAGGCTGGTCGTCAGACCGCGGTCCTACGACCACCACAGACGGAGAACCGCCAACTGGCGTCTACGGCAGGTGCAAGACCCAGGCGGTCGTCTGAATACATTGTTGCGGCCTGTCTGGTCTGCCGACCACCCCAATGTTACTGAGTCCTCCACTTCGCGTGCGATCGACCTCATTGTGTCTTCGTCCATCGCAAGCTCTCCCGCGAAATTCATAAAAATTTATCGTGTCATCGCGACCTGTCGACGACGGAGTTACTTCCTGTCACGCCTTCATATTTGAAATACATTCGACCAACTGACAACCCGTATATGGCCCGGGTGGGGACCTGAGCTAGGCAGCAAGATTTTGGCAGAACCGGCGTTTCAAGGCACGCGCCAATCCCCGACCTCAGAAGGCCAAATTGTGGGTACTCAAGGTTCCCAGGGGTGAATCGGGAGACAATGTGAGGAAGACGAGAGCTATTCCTGCCCAGGAGAATGAATCTTATAGGACGGGGATTCGTTTACGATATACTTCGGGGTCATGACTGGGTATAATGTATCGCACCCTCTCTGCCACCGCCGCCGCCTGCTTCGTCGACAGAGCGGGAAGGAAGAGCAGAACAAAGCATGCTCAACAACATGAAACGGGCAATCTGGCGGGCTTCCAAGACGAATACTATTCTTGTCCGAACGCTTGGCCGCCAGTTCTGAGACCTGTGCAGCGGTTTGGACGCGCGTCGGACCCCGCTGTAGGGCCTGGCCGACCCCAAGGGAGGTCCATACCAACTTGGCACAGTAACCCGCCCGATCAGGCCCGAAAACGCCAATGTACTGCGTGGGAAAGGTAAAGATGTTTAGAATAGCTCGCGGGCAAAGCGGGGGATAGCCTCTTCTTGTAGTCTCTGGTGCAGATTTCAGTGACTTAGCCTTTGGAATTTACCGGTGAGGCACTAGTAGACCATAAGATTGGTGCTATCGGCTCTATTTCCAATTCCACGTGTTGTATGAGTTCTGCACAATCGGAATCGATGGCAAGTAGGGTCCGAGGTAGAGTTCTGCTTGAGCAGAATGTGGCACCAACTGCGGAGACGATCTGCGCTGTCCAGGCTCTGCTAAATTACGTCACAGCCGCGTGCCTGGTTAGTCATCATGGACCCTCTTTGGTTCTCCTTCTCTTCATCCAGTTTGCTTTCGAACAGGCAGTCATACCAGGAATGCCTGCAATGCTGTCACCAGATAACTCCACACTATTCCAGCTCCGCGAGCTGCTAGGGCCAGATTTTGCCAGCCAGCTCGCGGCGCTGGTGAACCGCGTCGGGGTGACACAGGCGGCTGTTCGCGTCGAGGCCCATGTGTGCTCCACTGGAGGCAACCAGGCTGGCTCAGTCGTGGTATGACCCCTCCCCCATGTGACAGGCTTATCACTCATCGCCTACTCAAGGGATATCTCGACCTTCAGTCTGCCAGACAGGGAAATCCAACCCCAATATCTTCGCCCGGAGCGCAGGTTTGTCGCGATTTTCTCCAGCTCCTCTTTACAAATGAACTGCGGCTGAGGCTTCATTTACAGTTGTCTCCTCGGATCCACCACCTCCCTTCACCTGTCGAGCCCACAAGCGCTCTCTTAGCCACACAGTCTCAGAATGAGGCCTGCGCACCAGAAACAGCAATAACCTCCGGTTACCACCCGAGTGCTGCGTCAAAGCGACGCAAGGTTGTTGGCGGTTCACGGCCATGTACCACTAGGGAACGTCCCATCAGCACGGCCGTCGAACGTGAACATTGCGATGATGATGAAAGCAGCGCAGGGGTCAATCTTGAGCAAGAGCAGCCGCTCAAGGCACGCTCGATCCGTCAAGTGCATACGACCACCCGCTTTCCCCAGAGGACTGCGCGCAAGGAACAGTCTGTACCCATCATGACCTCCACGTCGACTGAGAAATTGGTCTGCAGCATCTGGCGACAGATACACTCGGAGATCCGGTGGGATATGACTGCCACGGTGAGTGAGCCATGCCCTTTGTATCATTTTCCTCTTCTTAGTTGCAGTCTCTAGGTCCGAACATGTATATCCACGGAGCAATGAGCAAGGAGGTGAGCCGTTCCAGGATGGTTGTTTGCTAGAGTAAAAAGAAGCTTTCTTACTCAGATACAACAGGCATTCCGAGTGGTGAATTCACTGTGTTTCACGTACCACAGCCGCAGCCAGACTTACCGCGCACTGGAGATGATTGTCCAGGCCTACTGGGTGGATTGCTACGAGGCCCGGATCACGGCAATCAGCCTGGATCAGCCCACTTTAACCGCCACAGAGGCAAGAATGTCTGCTTTGAGAGAGGCGTGCTCCGTGCAGAAGCTGACTGAAAAGGACCTTCGAAATCGACTGTGAGTTACCCCCCCCTTCCCCAGCTCAGAATATCCCTCTCTACCGCCAGCATAAGGAATCGGCTCTTCTGTAGCTTACAATGACATACCTCTCAGAGCAATCTGGCGTGGGTACAAGGAAATTAAGGATGCCGGCGGCTGGGCTAGTCTCCTGTTTGCAGGCGTGGGCGTCTATCGCTTCTGCAAATACCGCATCGGATTCAACGAAGGCCTGCTCCAGCGACTGCGCCAACTCCGACACAGCTTCGAGGTTGCCGCCGACACCCTCCGCCCCGAATGGCGGGATCTGCTAGGTGCCGTCGGGCAAAAGTCCCCTCGCGAGTACGACGGCCACCCGCACGAGTGGGTTACCATCGATGGCCGCCCGGCATGCCCCCTGCGATCCACGTACGCGTTCCTTGGTAAAGAGCTGGTGTTTGAGTTTGTAGACGACTGCGTTATAGACCGGGCTACCTTTGGCGCAGGGGATCCGCGCAGAATACTGCAGGCTGAACCGGACATGTGTGCGCAGTGCCAGCAGAAGCAGTCGGATGACGTGCAGCTCAACCGCTGCAGTTGCTTTCCGAATCTGTTTGGGTGCGTACGGCTGCCTCCGCCCGTGCAGATCTTCCGCACGGGCAATGCAAAGAATAACGGTGTTGTTGCTCGGCTTGTATGTACTTCATCCCACTGTTAGAGTCTGCGAGCCGACTTCGTTCCACTGACCAGAGGGGCACAGGACTTTGAGCGCGGCGCCGCGGTGGGTGAGTTTGTTGGCCTTGTGACGGCCGGCATTGATGGCGTCGATGTGATGGTAGGCGAGGCTTCGGGGCAGAGCTACCAGATCTTCCAGGGACAAATGGGTACGTACCACCCCTACTAACTAATAAACCCGCGGTACATATTGCTACCTGATGCTTATATTTTTCTCTTGGTTGAACAGGTAACTTTACAAGATTCATCAACCACTCCTGCCACCCAAACGCGCAGTTCCAACGCTTCTGCTGGATGGGTACGGAACGCATTCTCGTCGTGTCACGCGGGATCACGGCAGGCAGCGAAATCACCGTGGACTACTCGGACGAGTACTGGAAGAACCTGGACAAGGAATGTCTGTGTGGCGAGCCCTCTTGCCGGTATCCAGACCGATCACACAGCCCTCGGCAGCGGAGCAAGTCGTGATTAGTACCACTGGAGTTCCCAACTACTGTTTCGGTCTCTGAGGTTTCGTTCGGCTGGGCGCCGTGCCATACGACACGGGGCTCGTCTAGGCTGGCGGCGTTATTGCGGTAGGAACAATGAGCGAAATAACCCACGTAAGAAGTGTATAATTCCAGGCCAATCACAGCTGATGGATCAGTGCACGCGGAGGCGCTGGTCGTCATCAGCACCTGGGCGTTCTGGGCGGCTATCTACATCACAGCGATGAGGACCCCTGCTGCCCAGACGAGCATCCGACTGGTCAGTGAGGACAAATGCCTCCTACTAGAATCGGTACTCGATAGCAAAACACGGCCAAACTCGTCTAGCGCAGGCAAAGTACATAGCAGCCATGGTTTCAGATTCCAGGGAGTCTATTCCTTGGCCGATGAGTGTACCTTAGTAGTAAAATGACATTTCCTTTGAAGATGAACACGATCGAGTTCACCTCGACTATGCCCAGACTCGGAGTCGTAAGCCCAGACCTGGCAGTGCCAACGCAATACAGAAGCGTTCAGAAACGCGCATTCCACCCTTGGCAGCATCGAACCGCTTATAAGAAGCCACCGCCGGTTCGGCTGTGCAGCAGCAGCTCGAGCTCGAGCAATTCCTTCCCCTAGCCTCACTCGCCTGCTTGTCTTTCTGCAAGGCAGATACTCCGCCCGTGCTCCATGGCCTTTTCAATGCCCCTATCGACCCAGGAGGTCACCGAAGACCCTCGTAAGTCGTGCTACTCAGTGAGAGATGAAAGAAGAAGAAAAGAGGTAGAAAAAGTCCCCGCTCATTCACTAACCAAGCGCTGTTGCAGACCGGTTTTCGTGGGTCATGCTCTACTGGGTCGCGTTTTTGATCACCGTGGTGTTTTTCAGCCTGCTCCGCCTGTATCGATAGGCCAACGACGCCCGCCATGGGTTGTGCGTTGACTGCAGCCACGGGGACTAGACCATCGCTGTCTTCCCAAGGTAGATATGTCGTCTGATCTTCCCTGTCTGTTGTCCTTTTTCCCGCCGTAGTTTCTACTTCAATTCCTTCCACCCCACTCACCCACCCCCCTGTCGCAAAGCAACACGGATTACGTCGTCCGTTGCCGGGAATGTTACTAACAGCGCCATTTAATCTAGCGTGACTCGGATGGAACGGACCAGCCGGATGGAAGTAGATGTTGGACGGATTCATAGCGGGACGTCGCCCGATTTGCTACCTCGATCTGACTAAGGATCATGCCTCGGGTACCCTTGATGTATATTCATAAATACCGGAGTAACAGCAGCGTACTTGGCTATTGTCAGAATGCTTCGGCGGTGGTATCGAAAACGGGCTTGGACAAGAAGAGATGGTTAGAAACATTATTCAGTTACAACACAGCTGGGTGAACTGCACCATAGGAAGAAAAAGATGACCTCAACCGGCGTCACGCATATTTCCCACCTGGGGCCCGCTGAAGCTCCATATTGATGCTATTCTCCAGACAGGCGGAATCCAGTTGGTACCATACTAGTGCATTTTGTCGTGGGTTTGATCGCTGACCAACCTTGGAATTATCTGCCTGCTGGAGCTGCCTTGGACACAGACTCACGGCTCACGGCTCACAGCCACGATACTTAGCGTGCCCAGTTGATGTAAAATATGCGAGAGATCTCTCTCAGACTGTTGAGTACCTGTCAGTGACGTATCCTCAGGGAAATGTCCTGATTGGCAACATTGTGGATTATCCATGTAGAGCCTACGAGGCACAAGCCACAGGGCAATCGCTATTTCTAGGGAGGTTATCCCGCCAAAGCCCTTTAGCGCGTCTACCACTACTAATCCAACGCCTATCTATATCCACGGTTGACTTACACGATGACTATGATCTTGCAAAGTTTCGGAGTCGATAGTGTAAGCCTCTCATCCGCATTACGGCGTATAATCTCTGGGTCTTCGTAGGCACAGGATCTCGGGCAACGCAGCAATACCAATATGATGTCGTGCTGCCTGACCAAATGCCAGCAAGGCTAGAAGAAACGTTGCTCTTCTCCGCAGTCTATGATGGACACAAGAGGACGGAAAAAAGGAGTATCGCCGGGAACTTCTGATGGCTCTATAGTGTCGCGGTGGACGTGGCGAATCACGTCAGCGACAACTTTGGACGACTCCTGCTCAACTCCCGGCACCTGGAATCCGGAGACTACGAAAGGGCCATCGCGGACGCGGTTCAAGACGAAGACGAGCTGCTGCTGAGGGCGTTCCAGCAAGGCACGGAGGTGTTTGCCGAAGCGGGCTCTACGCTTGCGGCATGTCTGCTCAATCTGACTAGAGGTGTGCTCGTGGTGGAAGTATATTGCTTCGTGCTTGCGCCAGTTCCTGGACCAATGGGGAATCCCAGCTGGGGACGCCGAGGGATACCTTGGCGTATACATTCTCGTATCCAGTCACACGGCACTCATTGGCGCATGGGGTCCTTCAGAGGTGGACAAGGGGATGAGATATCCGCGACGTCGAGGGCCGTGATGTCGTCCAAGACCTCTCCGCAGTTTTACGACAGGAGGTACGTGGGATGGGAGAAAAAAAAGGAGTGGCAATACCCTCATGGCTGCAATTCTAACACTTGTCGCAGGGCACGCCATTGCGTGTCAAAGCTTTGGTCAACGACACAACGTCGGCACCCTTAATGGCTTAATGGCCTCGGCGTACGTCGATGGCAAGACGCAATTGGCAGCATCTACGGGACTGGAAACAACGCTGCATAAATGAACGGTGCGAGCAGGCTCGAAACGCCAGAAGGATCAATCTGCCTCGGTGTGGGTGCCACCGAACGACACGGATATTGCGAGTCTCACTCTGGAGTAGGGGGTTCAACATTCGACCTCGGAGGATTTACCGTGTGAAGCGCTGCTCGAACATCCAATCAGAACATCCAGTGCCGGGCGTAGTTCTGCCTGGGCAGAAGATCCAGCGGAATAATCTCCCTGACATCACCGTCCTCTCATTGTTATGCGACCAACCACGCTCTTCCACCCTTGTCGAAGATGGAGCACCCTGTTGGTAGAAATTGCAGATTGCAGCTTACAGAGATACTCGAGAGCCCATTAGGAGCAAATATCGTGCTAAAGTGGCGTACTGTGCGTGGTGGCACCATCATTATCACCACCAGACCCACTGTCCTGCAGTGTGGAATGTGTGGTTATTGCAAAGTTGGCCCCACTCAATTGACATTTGGCTTGCTCTTCCCGAGCTATTTCATACCATCCCCTGGCCGTCAGAGTTTTCGGTTTTTTCTTCCTTTTTACCTTCAATTGTTTCTCAACCATATCCTTCCCACAGAGTCGTCCCCCCTCCTCGAGAGATAACCATGATGTCGGAGGTGTCGCCGCACGATTCTGCGCCCCTGGAGAGGGAGAAAACCAACATCACATACAGCTATGAGGGTGTTATAGGGTGGAAGAGCGTGCGATATCTGCGCCCGTTCCGTGGCATGTATCACGATGTACGACGACGACTTCCCCACTACTGGAGCGACATTCGGGATGCCTGGGACTACCGCACGGTCCCCAGCATTGTCCGGATGTATTTTGTCAAGTAAGTGCGCCGGTGTTTTTGCTTTGGACTGGCTCAAAGTGAAGAGGCCACTGACCCCCTCTGCCGCAGCATTCTGCCCGCCATCGCATATACCATGGATATGTACCGGCGCACGGGGGAATTCTACGGGATCAATGAGGGTCTCTTCTCCTCGGCGCTTGCTGCCATGATCTTTAGTCTCTTTTCCGCCCAGCCCCTGACCATTGTCGGCATTACTGGTCTTATCTCGCTTTTCAACTACACTATCTTTGATATCATCAACATCTATGACCCATCCATCTATCCAAGCTTTATGTGTTGGACTGCTATTTGGGCGGCCATTTTCCATTGGATAGCTGCAATATGCAATGTGTGCGACTACATGCGCTACGTGACGGATTTTTCCAGCGAAGCATTTGGCATGTATGTCGGTATCATTTACTGTAGTAAGTCCTGGCTCTGATTCCCCTTTCGGGCTGGGTGCCAGATGCTGACCATGAGATCAGTCAAGGGAGTCGAAGAATTGGTCAACGAGTTCACGACACACGGCCGAGACGCTGGGTATCTGGCCTGCTTGATTGCGATTCTCTACTTCCTCACCATCTATGGACTGGAGAAGCTGGGTGCCAGTACCATTTGGAAAGCATCGGTCCGTGGGCTGATTGCCGACTATGCGTATCCGGTAGGCACTTCTCATTATCTGTTTTTCCGTCCTCTGCCCTTTACTCTGCTTCATCGCCATGTTCTTCCGATTGCTTTGCTGACGCCTGGCTAGCTGGGAACCCTCTTCTGGGTTGGTTTTGCCCACTTTCCTGGTAATCTGAAATCCACGCACATAGGATTCATCCCAGTCACTCGCGCTTTCTATCCAACTCAAGACCGCGGCTGGCTGATCCACTTTTGGGATCTTGAGGTCAAGTGGGTGTTTGTGGCGCTGCCGTTTGGCTTCCTGACAATGCTGCTCTTCTATTATGACCATGTAAGTCCCACTTGTTGTCCACGCTGCTCGCGCTTTCCACAATAAGCCCCGTACCCGCTGTGATTCAATACTAATCCCGACGACGCGCTGCAGAACATTAGCAGTTTGACCGCACAGGCGCGGCAGTTCCCGTTGAAGAAGCCGTCGGGATTTCACTGGGACTTTTTCCTTCTGGGGTGTACGACTTTTATTGCTGGTATAATCGGGATCCCCATGCCGAATGGACTCGTTCCGCAGGTATGCCTGACCATTCCTCCCCAACAATAGGTAATATGGGGGGGGTTCAATTGACACGCAATCGCATTCGCAGGCCCCCGTACACACAGACTCCTTGACAGTCTACGAGACTGAGCTGCGAGTGATCCCCACAGAGGAAGGAGAAGGCGCAGAGCTCCGCCGGCCCGTCGTCAAGGCAAAGGCTGTGGTCGAACAGCGTGTGTCCCATTTCATCATGGGGCTGGGGATTATTGGCACCATGACGGGCCCGTTGCTTGTTGTTCTGCACACGATGCCGACTGCCATCTTCGCCGGTGTGTTTTTCACCGTGGGCTGGGGCTCGATCGAGTCCAACAGCATGCTGAAAAAGGCCATCTTTCTCATGCAGGAGAGCCGGTTCATCCAGCGCGATGAGCCTCTTCTTTCGATCCGCAAGCGAAAAATTCTCCTGTTTATCGGATTGCAGGGTCTCGGCGTCGCTGCCACTGTGGCCATTTCCCAGACAATTGCGGCTATTGGTTCGTTCCGACTTCCTTCCCTCTCCGCGTAGCGTTTGTTTCGGACATCCACTAACGTCCTGTCCCATCGTAGGTTTCCCCATCCTGATCATCCTGCTTATCCCGCTGCGTGTATGGGCACTTCCCCGCTGGTTCAGCGAGAAGGAACTGGATGTCCTGGACGACCTCACTGCAGATAATAGTGCTGTTCTCCGCAGCCTGGGTGGGCCTCCCAAGTTCCCTGGCCAGACCGAGCTTGCCCACGAAGGATTGGCGCGCAGATACTCGGAGCAGCGGTCAGGAGTGCCGCGACAGAGAGCTGGGAGTATTACGCGCTAAGCAGGTCATACCGGCACAGGGCTCAGGTTTTACATTACACCGTCCTAGTGTTTTGTTTTCAAAGCGACGCGATGTATATCGGGGTGCTTGAACGATAGGTAGTATAATATGCGCGACCGTAAATGTACCTATCGTCCGAGCACGCCGATATACATCGCAAGAGCTCACGATTCTCGCGTAGATAAATGCGTCTAATAGCAGCGGTGTTACAGTGCATCTATCAATATGCAGCGTCAACAAAGGCAAAGAGGGGGATCCTGGTCCACAAATGTTTTAGGTCGCAGGTGCATTGGAAATCTAAATTGGGCCGAGGGCGGACAATGGGCGGCGTGAGACAGTTCCATGCTTTCTCTCAGCATGGTTCATCAATGCCGATTTACTCTCCAACTGCTCCTCGCAGATGCTGCATTTAACCCGCATGTCTTTTGGATATGGTATGACATGAATGTCAACAAAGTGACGGGTGAGTGACCCAGGGGTATAATAGTCTTTAGACCGCTCATGCTCTGGCATATGAGGATTTCCCAGACAGAGAAAGCAAACCGTCGGCCGTTCCTCTTTCTTTTTAATGCAGACAGACGCAATCGCTTGAGAAATGGTGGTCTGTGGCCCATCAGACGAAAGGCATCTTTGCCTTTTTGCGGAAGGAGCAGACGATAAAGAATCCATGGCAGGACGTTTCTGTGCAGGGTTTGGTCGTCTCGTGGGTGATCCCTCCTCCACGTCACAGAAAGCAATGACCGCATTGATTGCGGCAATCCGGCGCTGGTATTCCTTTTCGACAGTGGCGCCCGGCATGCTCAAGATATTATCGAGCAGGATCATATGCTGCGGGGTCATATACCCTGTTCGCTCCAGAGCACCCTTCACCTCGTCATCCAAGAACTTCCCGGCAAGTTGCCTCTCGCAGTCAATCACTGGCTGCTCGTTCTTATATCTTTCCAGATTCTCACGCACTAAGTGGTTACGTTGCCGTTGCCACTCATTCCGAGACACACGCTGCGCCCGGAGATGCCTCCGGACCGCGCCTCTGTACTCTTCCTCGGACTTCGCCACACGGTCAAGCGCCTGTCGAGCGGGAGCTGGTAGCTCCTTCTTCACTTTCTTCTGATTCTGGTAATCGCCGAAGCGTCGCTCAAAGTCCCGTTCCGCCATCTCAAAAGCCCGCTTCATCTCGTCCCGGAATTGTTTTCTTTCACAGACCCGCGTCTGCAGTGTTCGCACGCGCGGAATGTTGTTGACACAACTAGTGTCCTCGAGCTTGTACGGTCGGCGGGGATCAATCGACCGGCTCATGGATGCTGCGAACCGCATCAGCTGTTTCTGAGCCGGCAGTCCCCGGACAATGGCCTGGGCGTCAACATGGATGCCCACGCTATAATGTTTAACGAAGGTGTCGATGTTCGCATGCTGTAACATCACGTTCTGGAGCTCGTTCGTCACATCCGCTGTTCGACGAAGGAGACGGCAGTGTTAGTAAGGACATGATCGTTTTCGATGTGAACAAACCAGATAACTCACAGCTGTCATTAAATGCTTTCGCCGCCCCATAACGGAGACCATACGGCTTTGTGACCTGTTCAAACCCAGTGATTTCGCCTCCCCGTTTCATTCGATATCGCAGCGCTCCTTCCGTTAGTCGCTCCTCCAAAGCAATTCGAAGTCCGTCGGATTCGCGCATTCCCTGACAGAACACAAAGTGATCGAGAATTTCATCTTTCAATCTCAGCGGCTGTTCTCCAAGTCCATCCAAAACACCAAGGTTATACAGATTTTCGGGACAGTCCAACACTAGGCCGTCTTTGGAGATATTCTTGAACGCCTGAATACGGAACAGCATGCCGAGAAGGAACACATGAGGACTGAGGACCAATGTCGGGTCAAAGACGATTTCGGGAATAGGGAAGGTATTCCTATTCCATACACAATTAGCTCTACCTGGCATGCGACTTCACGCGGAGACAGCGACGCTAAAATAAAAAGGGATTGCCTAGGACTCACTCTTCCTTCTCGCCCAGAAATGTCTTGGTAAACCTTGGGGTCAAGTAAATAAATAATCGTGGGCGCCCTCCGTCCGGGTGACGGATGAGAGTCAGCTCAAGATCCCTATAGCGTAAGTTCAGCAGAGCCCCAGGGCGGCTACCGGTGATGGCCGCCAGCTGGCAGAAGAGGAGGAGTTGGATCCGAAGCCACCCGAACTGAAAAGTCATCTCCATCGTCGACAATAGCACGCGAGCGAACTCCGCCACATCTTCAATGTACATCGTCGCTTTCGGTCGGCGTCCAGAACGGAGGTCCTTCTCTCGAGCAACGATCGCCAGTACCTGTAACTCATCAGATGAGACTATAATTGATCCGATCACCGGTCGCTTACATCCAGAATCTTGACAATGAGGTCTTTGCTTAAGCCGTGGCCTACCTCTGCCTTGTAAACCAGATGCCACCACTTCCAGAATGTCTCCAGTGAGCTTTTGTATCGTATTCCTGGTGTCCGGCCCCCTTTTTTGTTTCGTCGCCGACTGCATCGCCACGAGAAGAAAGCTTTGAAGAAACGGACTGTCTCCTCGGAGTCGGAAAGCCAACGGAAACGTTCGGCAGGGTCGTAGTTGCCCTCGCGGCAGAACCTAGAGAGACAGGCTATCTGTTAGCACCAGTCTTGAGACTTGGATCCCGGCTGTTTCTCACCGGTCCCAGTAATCCCGTGTCTCGTCCAACTTAGCCTGGGTCCTTGGGCTGTAGCGTTTCTGCCGTAGTTGGGAGACGTCGAGACATTCAGCCTCCTGTAAGAAGTACGCCGCAGGGAGTTCCCGTTCCTCCTCATCATCCAGGATCGAATCGTCGTCAGAAAGATCTTCCGGGTCGTTATCACTGTCTGGCTCAGACGCACTGTCCGAGGATTCATCGGTAGCATCGTCGGCGGAGAAGATGTCCGGTACATCGGTGGTGCTGCCACTGTCGTCGTCGGACCCGACCGGTTGAGGGGAGTGCCGCATGGCAGACAAAGGAGAGCGAGAGGAAAGGAAGCCTGGATATAAATAAAGAGTAGGGTGGCAGAAGCGGATCTTCTCTAACCCGTTTGAAGCCGGCAGAGGAGAGATGAATGTGTGGGCGAGGTGGATGGCAGTTTCTCGGAAGCGGAGGAGGGGAGGGAGAGAGTCATGGGGGGCGAAGGCTTTTAAGAAGCAGAGCGAAGAAGACGGTCGCGAGGGGAGCCGTTTTTGGCTCCCTCCCCAGAAGGCCTCGCTGGGGAGGGAGAGAGAGGTATGGCTGAACGACGAGCGAGCCCTCCGACGGCGGCTACACGAGGTGTGGTCGTCGAAAGGACCAGGCCAGGCACGAAACGACGGGGGAACTAACTAGCGCAGGGCGTGGGAGTAAAGGCCGCTGGCCGTGCGACTACTTCCACGTGACGCCAAGGCCGCCGAGCGTTAGCAGGACGCTCAAAACGGCGTCAAGTGTAGCCGTTTCAGGCGTCCGGCTAACTGTTTCACGGTTAAAAGTAGTATATAGTAAGAAATAGTAAAAGGAATTACTTATAGAGGAGTAGTTTAATATAGTTAATATAAGGAAGAAGAAGAGAAGAAATCTATAAATCTATAAAGATAAAAGAACCTCTACTACTACTATACTATCTAAGTAAGTATATAAGTAAATCTATTTAAGTAAATAAGAAAGAACTAAGTATAATAAGACTAGATAATTATATAATAATATTAATAAAGGGAGTAATATATTAGTAGTAATAAGATTACTAACTAATATAACCTTATACTAGTAAATTCCACTAAGTAATAGTAATATCTATTATTTTAATTTAACTAATAAGAATACATAGTTTATATAAAATAAAGAATATTATAAATAAACCTCTAGCTATAGAGATATAGTATATAAAGAGGGAGGGTAGTTATTAGGTATAGTAAGCCTATATATAGTAAACCACAGGGGTTATATAGGTAGCATATGACCTATAGAGATATTATCACCTACTAAGGGGTGAGCATCTTATACCTTAGTGATTAGTTCACTAATAAAGGCATTACTACTACCATACTATCTACCATTTAATCAAGAGCATTCCCTAGGTGCTCTCACAATAGGGGTGCTTATACAGCCCTAATATAACTAATAATATTATTCACTATAGCAAGGTGCTCCACTGTGATTTAATTATATTTAAATGTCTAGTTAAGGTTCTGCCATAGCTTTAGTGTAAGAAGATCTGCGTGTTTAGATAGCTTTATATCACTAGTTAGCTTTAAAAAAGAAGATCTATAGTGTATAGATATAATACCTTTACCTAATTCTTCTTAAGGGCCTGAATTATCTATAGAGGTGAGATATTAATACTAGATAAAGATGGTGGTTAAGAGGGAGAGGGAGAGGGTATATTCTCTCTGTATGCATATAGATTAAGCATATAGATATCTAGTATTACTACCTAGTTAGCAAGATTCTTAATAATCTTATTACTATCTTCTGCTACTAGCCAGATATCATGATCTTTAAAGGCCTTATAAATAATTTATTAGTTAAAGGCTTTCTCCTGTACTAGACTGATCACCTATAAGAATTCTAACTTCCCTACTAGCTTACCAGCCTAGTAAGATAGATTATTATTTATATATTAGAAGTATTATTTATAGCTTAAGAATAGCTTCCTATCTAGTAGCTAGTAAAGATAAGTTATATAAGGCATAAATCCAAAGGGTATAATACTATTATCTTTATATTCTTATAAGAATTTAAAGGTGAGGTGGGAGCTATAGCCATTAAATATAAGAATATACTTCTCCCCTCTCTTTATATAACTATTCATCAGCCTAATAAAATATTAAAGCTATTTAAATGCTAGTTCATTAGTGATCTAGCCATTTAGGGAGGTTCCTATAATTATATATAGTAGTAAACCCTCACTCTTATTAAACTAACTCTCTATAAAGATACTATTCCCTTAATAAAGAATAGATTAGAAGAATAGTGGCTTAGAAGAACAGGTTAAAAGAATCTACCTTTAAGATAAAGAAAGGGTCCATCTACTAGCTATTAGTAGTAATATATTTGACTACTATAATATTCTTACCTTACTTAGCTTTAGTAAGATCTGGGTAAGAATCTTTTAAACTAATCATATTTCTTAATATACCCTTACCAGGTTAGAAGCCACATTTATTAAAGTTATATACTAACTATGCTAGTATATCTTTTTTAACTATATTTAAAAGTAGATTATACTAGTATGCTAACAACCCTGCATCTTTAGCTTAGATATACTTTAATTCCTTTATCTTTTACTTTACTAGACCTAGTTTTAGGTGCGCTGGAAGATATTTCTTAAAGTAATATACCCACATCTTACTAACCTATTAGTTAGGCTTACCAGCGTGTATAAGTGCCTGATTTACCTATACCTCTAGTATTCTAGGAGTCACTGGCATGTTTAAATCATATATATAGACTAACTAGAGGTGTAAGGCTTCCTCCTAATACCCCTTCAGAACTTTATTAACCAGTTTCTAAGTTATACAAGGTTATCTACCCTTTTTAACACAGTTATGTAGGGTTGTGTAAAAAATGCCATATTCACGCGTAATCTTAGTGATATTTAGTTTTTCTTAGGCCTGAGCGGCTTCGCAGGCCTTAAGGACGAAAGATTTATTAAATTTAGTAGATTTAGGCATGTTGTGTGGTTGGAATAGCTTTAAGAAGTCAAAATATTAAAAATTAGTGATTATAATGTGGTTGGTAATTACAGTATGGTGCACCCATACTGGGAAGCAGGGTGGGTAAACAAAGGCACGGATATAGCATCATCTTTCATTATCTTCATTAGTGTTAATATATAGTGGTATAGCTTAACAAGAATGTAACACAATGATGATTGGGTTATGAGATCAAATATCATGCTAATGTCAAGCTTGTCAGGTTTGCTGCGAGGACGGAGTGCATCTTGCTATGAACACTTCAAATACGAAAGATCGGCATCGGATTCCTTGGAGAAGAGTCATGGCATATGATAGAGTAAGCCTCGCTCAGTTCGAAATATGCCTTAGCATTAATGAGTCTATCGTGTTGTGGAATGACTGGTCTTTGTGGGAAGTGTTGCCATGACATATTTTGCTAGGACGTGAACGCAGAGACAGTTTAAAATCGCGTTCTTTACAGACAAATTGATTCAATCATTAGCTCAATGTGCCGGAGAAGAAAACAAGCCTTAAGTATCCTAGTAGTTAAAAAGAATAGAAACAGAGAAACAGAATGCCTGCGTGACAGCCTTGTCACTTGTCGCTTGTCATGAGGTCCCTCTGTCATGCATCAACTCCCCAGGGATCGAGGTCTTTCCCATCTCTGTCAGCTTCTACCCATTACAACCAACCACTGTGCGGGCGTCCCATTTCCTTGGATTCTGCAAATTTATCCTCCGAATGTGATCTAGGGTCTCAATTTAATTTGAAGATTCATTCACCTTTGAAGAATGGATGAATCCACTTTGAGGTGATCAACATCAGCGAGCACCAGAAATGGGTTGACAACCCCAACATCCGCGATTCAGACAGCAATCAACCCCGGACAACAGACCAACAATGCGATTCGACGTGGCTGTGCTGCAACTGGGTGGAAATACGAGACTCATTGCTTTCCTTGTCTGCATCCTTGGCATTTTCCTCCAAGCTCTTCATTTCCTTATTGCTCAGCCGCCACCAATGACCATTGCTTGCTGACACCCTTCGTAAGAACGGGGAGGAGAAAGATGAGCAGAAAAAGCAATGGATGATCACAAAAAATATCACGGGCTCTCTGTCGTCACTGAAAAGCATCGAATCTTCGTGCCTGGGCTCTGCTCAAGGGCATCGTGCTCATGGGTGCTACCTCTTCTGCACAGCCAGCACCTTGCTTCTTTGTCCTCGAGGGCTCCTAAAAAAAATATTTCGCCTTCTCTGCCTCTCTTTGTTGCTACTATTCATGCTAGTAATCAGTGCCGAGGATCAGTTTCAGCCCAGTCGTTTCAAATCTTTATTAGAGGTATGTTCTTTGATGGTATCCAACTCAACTACAACTCGACCCAGCACGGCAAATCATGTAAGATTCAAAATTCATCAACTTGCATTTCTTTTTTTCCCAGGCTGACTGATCCTCCAAGATCTCCTCCTGGCGATATTAAGATACAATTCAGTGAACTGTCTTGATTCTTTCCGACCTATTCAACAACAGGGGCTGCCATTTACTGGCATCGAAAGCATACATCTGATTCGCTTCATCGTTCGTTAGAAGATGCCAGGTCCCCATGATATCGGTATCTTCGGGGACATTGCCCTCGAACAACGAGTTGAAGATATCGAACATGCGCCAGAAAGGACCAACACCTTCGTGCCTCAGCGCAGCTATCTAACGGCCGCAGAGCGTGCACGACGCAATTTGAATGCAAAACTCGCCAATCCATTGGCAGGTTATAGCCACGAGGAGCTGCGCAGTCAAGGGATCAAATTCGCTATAGAACACCATATGGGTGACGAAACGGATATTCGCGCTTTTGAGTTAGGCGCCCTTCTGGCCCAGGAGCCTGAAAAGTTCGATTCTTTCAGGGACTTGCTAACGGAAGAGGAATTCAAGATTTTACATCTCGAGTTCACTCATCGTTGGTCGCAACCCTGGACAATGTATTTGGTTATTGCCTTGTGCTCTCTCTCAGCAGCGGTGCAGGGAATGGGTAAGTGACAGAACCAACCACACTTGGGTACTTAGTGCTAAAGCTAGGTCCACTTCCGACAGATGAAACGGTTGTCAATGGCGCTCAGATCTTCTACAAGACGCAATTCGGCATTGACGATGAAACCTCGAGGTCTCGCTGGCTGCTGGGGTTGGTGAACGCCGCGCCATATCTGTGCTGCGCCGTCCTTGGTTGCTGGCTGGCAGTCCCTTTCAACGCGTGGTTTGGTCGTCGCGGGACCATCTTCATCACATGCTGTTTCTCCGCCATCGCTTGCCTGTGGCAAGGGTTTGTCAACACTTGGTGGCATATGTTCATCTCCCGCTTCGTCCTGGGCTTCGGCATTGGCCCTAAGTCCGCAACTGTTCCCATCTACGCGGCCGAAACTGCTCCTCCCGCCATTCGTGGTGCGTTGGTGATGCAGTGGCAGATGTGGACTGCTTTTGGCATCATGTTGGGCTATGCAGCAGACCTTGCTTTCTTTGAGGTCCCAGATCCTTCAAACATTGTCGGGCTCAACTGGCGCATTATGATGGCCTCTGCCATGTTCCCAGCTATCCTGGTTTGCTTGTTTGTATTTTCCTGTCCGGAGTCACCGCGTTGGTACATGTCCCAGAAACGCTATTACAAGGCGTATGAGTCGATGTGCAGCCTGCGCGCGCACAAGATCCAGGCCGCTCGAGACCTTTATTACATGCATACATTGCTGGAAGCGGAGAAAGGGATGAAGCTCGGCCAGAACAAGATGATAGAACTAATCGCCGTGCCTCGGAACCGGCGCGCCCTAATCGCGTCAGAGATCGTCATGTTCCTGCAGCAGGTAATGAACCATCCTGTCACATCAAAGTTTCCACATTCTGACTCAATTATCTAGCTATGTGGCGTGAACATTATCGCGTATTATTCGTCCGAAATATTCATCAAGGTGACATCAGCCCGAAATGCCCTAGCCACATCCTTCGGCTGGGGCGTGGTGAACTGGCTCTTCGCCATCCCCGCGGTCTACACAATCGACACATTCGGCCGTCGCAACCTCCTCCTAACTACATTCCCTCTCATGGCCCTCGCCTGGTTCTTCACCGGCTTCAGCTTTTACATTCCTAACGCGGAACACAGCAACGCGCAGCTCGCCTGCGTCGCGCTAGGCCTCTATCTCTTCGGCGTGGTCTACTCCGTCGGCGAGGGTCCAGTGCCATTCACCTACTCAGCAGAAGCCTACCCACTCTACGTCCGTTCGTACGGCATGGCCCTAGCGACGGCAACAACCTGGCTCTTCAACTTCCTCCTGGCTATCACGTGGCCTTCGCTGCACGATTCGTTCAAAGACCAGGGCGCGTTCTGCTGGTACGCTGCTTGGAATCTGATCGGGTTCGTGTTGGTGCTTCTGTTCATGCCGGAGACGAAGGGGAAGACGCTGGAGGAGCTGGACCAGGTGTTTTCGGTGCCGACGCGGTTTCACGCGGCGTATGGGCTGCGCCAGATCCCGTACTTCTTTAAGAGGTATGTCTTGCGTCAGCGGGTGAAGTCGGAGATATTGTACGAGAGGGAAGATCCGGCGGCTTATTCGAGTGATGCTGGTTTCAATGCTGCGGATTGGAGCAGGACAAGATAGGTAGGTGGATATTGGAAAGATCAGTCCGCGGCTGAGCGGGTTTAGCTGTGCGGTGTTGGCGTAAATACATGGACATACTAATTCGGCGTTGCTATACGATTCTAACATATGTAGATGATGACACGATGCTCAATGACAATGACAAGTTTCAATTTAGATGACAAGTTTCAATTTAGATTTTATATATAATTGGTCTAATTGCCCGGGTCTAAAATGTATTAAGCTCACCGAGAAAAGAAGTAGCAAAGCATGCGGCGGCTTGCGCGGAAAGCTTCATCTCACTATCAAGGATTAAAATTCTATATCCAAGTCAGTCATCAATATAAAAGCCATGATGGACGTGCTATTGGGGGGAGCAAGAAAAGGAAAGTTCACTTTCTCAGACAGCAGTTGGAACGATTGTTGATCCGCATGGAAATACTCAGAACAGGTCTGTGTGAAATCTTGCTTCATCATAGGAAGTGACCCGAAGGACGGAAGAAGGGAAAGGAAAAGAGAAACATGATATGAGGGAATAGTATCCTACCTGCTGAGAGCACAGCGTCCATAAGATCTGGGACTTTATCATGCTGTCCCAGTTAGCCGATAAAACTGATTCGTTGTCTCCTGCCTAGACGGCTGGAGAGTATTGCGAACAGTCCCTCCCGTGCGCTCAACCTGCTGCTCCATGTCAAGATGAGTTGTATCATCGACGGTCAAAACGGTCATTGACCATCCAGACAGCGGGGCCTCGAATGACTCGGGTCGCTGCATCGAACCGAGCAGGAACGGGGGTGGACGCGCCGCATCACGGACGTACGGTGGTACGATCGATGCGGGCCGGATGTCCAGTTCCATCACGCCAGTATTCGACCATACAGGCCGCACGTAGTCCCCAAAGTCAGCTTGTCCGACGCCAGGTCCAAGGTGGATATCTCGCTGATTGAATAAATCCGCGAGACAAACCCAGAGAACCTGGAGGATGACGCCGTGAGCGACAACAGCAATGACCTCTTCGTTTGCGGTGTCTGCGTTAATGAGGAAAGGCATTATGTGATCCTGCAAAAACGCATTTATACGAGCCCGCATGGAGACGACAGACTCCTCATCGGTGTATGTCGGCTCACCTCCACGCAAAGCATCCGGAGAACTGATGCTGGAAGCAGGAGCACCGGAATGCCACCGTGTACCTTCCAGGTTGCCGAACGATTGCTCCCGAAGATTCGGGACCTGTATCGGGGCCAACAACGGGCCGCTTGCCAGCTGTTGTTGGCAGATACCCTGCGCCGTTTCCGAAGCCCGATCAAGATCCGACGAGAAAACATGAGTGAAGCGGATCATCCGATCCTTGAAGCTTCGAGCGAGCAGACGGACTTGTGTCTTACCGTTCTCTGTCAGGTAGTGGCCATTGGTATCGCCTCTGCGGATCCCGTCGATATGACAGGACTGTCAGCTGCCATTCTACTGGGGTCAACAGAAGACGCGTACGCTGCTTGTCCCACGTTATGTCCACACTCTGCGTGGCGGATCAGATATAGCTTCATCCTGGCGAGAATCGGATCAGATGATAACCAGCTTGATGGCGTGACAAGTCCATTTTGTTAGGAGCAGAAGTGGGATGCTTTAAGGAAGCACAGCAGAAGGCGACATGGAACATGATGAAATCGTGATTGTTGAACAATTGCCGGAAGAAATACGCTTGGTTCGCTAAAAAGCCAATCAGGAGCTGGGCTATGTTTGCCCTGTTTGCGGCCTTTGCTCTGTTTGACATATTTTGTGTCGATACCAAAAAAAGTTTTGGTGCCATCAGGCAGACTGGAATCGTTGACCAGTATTTGTGCCAGTACAGCGGGTCTTTGGATGACTTAATTCTCTCTCTCTCTTGTTAAATTGCATAGCATTCTAGCAGAGAACATCGTTCCATTCGCTGGTATATCCGGACGGACACTTAATAAAAAGAAATTTAATCCTCAAGGTGCGAAAATCTAATCTTATCAAGATCGGTTAACCACTGTAAACATCGTTGCTAAATCTTCCCAATTCTTGCAGAGACGAATCAGCCTTCTCGTTCATATAACCTCCACAGTTTCGAAGAACCACAATGGCCGACGCTCCTGAAAGTCCCGTACCGCAGCAACAAAGTGTGTAGGAAGATACCTTTGGGCTGCTCATTTGGGGCTCGATCCAAAAGAATTCGCTTCATGGCATTGTTTCGGAATGACTGATGAGTCCATAGCTCCCGGAAGATCACCTTTCCAAAATGGTGTTAGAACATCAGGTCGCGCTTTCAATTCTCCAAATTGGCGCGTGAAGGGCGAGGAAAGCCCGAGTGTTCAGAGCTCTGGTTCGCCCGGGCCAAAGACAAATACCTCGAGGCTCACATTCAGCAAACCAAGCTCTCATGTCCCTCAGGCTATCTCTGAAGGCCGCCGTCTATACGTTGGCAACATGCCCTACACGGCCAAGTCGGAGGATGTGCAAGCATTGTTCACCGCCGCAAATTTCCCAATGTACGGAGACAGAATTTCTTGTATGGAGATGGCCAAAACTGAGTACTTTGCAGCGAGCGGATCGATATCGCGATTGACCCTTTCACCGGCCGCAATCCGTCATACTGCTTTGTCGATCTGGAGAGCAAGGAGTTGGCGGATCGAGCAATGACCGAATTGGACGGCCGTGATATGCTTGGCCGGCCTGTCAAGATCAAGCCTGGAGTTGCCAAAACGGCAAGCGAGCGTTCGCAGCAACAGCAACAGCAACGAACTGAGAGCTTGCCTCGCAGCGACAAGGGCAGCCCGTTTGCTCTTGACCGCTGGAGACGCAACGACGCGCCCACCTTTGCGAAGGTCGACAGCGACTCAAGCCGTCGCCTTTATGTCGGCGGTCTCCCTAAGTTAACCGACCCTAAGGCTATCACCACAAATATGACCAACTTCTTCAAGGGATACAAGGTGTATGTCCGCAGTTGCCCTCTATTGGAATTGCCTTTTCAAGACTAACTTTTCCAAAAAAGTGAAAATGTCAGCAAACTGTTCACTCCTCATCCTGCGAAGCGATTCGAGCCTGGTGACCACTACTACCTCTTCGTTGACTTTGGCAGCGTGGAAGAAGCTCAGAATGCCATGGACAACTTGAATGGCCAGGAAGGTCCCTGGGGAGCGAATCTTCGTGTGCAGAGAGCCCGTGGGGAGACTAATAACTCTGACGAAAGGAGAAACAAGTGGTCATCTGCACGCGGTGATTCAAATGATGCTCTGGCTACCAACGATATTTCTGTCGCTGTATAATCGACTCACTCAGATATTGTTGGTGTGATAGATCGTGTCACATGCGAAGCCGCTCATATTGGAAAGTTCAACGACGAAAGCTGGCTTGTCATGCATTGCCAGCCGATCAATTGTCATCGCCTTTGCCCACAGAGCAACCTCAATTTTTAAGTCATGCTGAAGATGGGGATTCAGAATTTCCATATTGCAACTACCCATGCTCGTCTCAGCACGGTTGAACGCTCCACGTTGCTGTGGACCGAGGAACATCCTTCCTTGGATGATCCACAGCATCAAGAGAAATCTCAATCCCCAGGAGGACAGACCACCTCCAGATGAGGTAGTTAGACACAGTGAAACAACCTACTACTAGACCATGCTACTCCGCCGTCGCCTGCAACTGGCACAAAGAGCATTTGTACACTTAAAATAATTCCCTTCAAAAAAAAATATAACTCCCTTGTCATTTATGAAAGAAGCATTATTTGATGAGAGTAATCTCACTGTGGTAGTTCATGGAATCAATGCCTATTGCTATAAGGGATTAGCGACAAGGCCGTCAGGGTTGAGGGCTGGATCAGGCCATCTAGACCAAGTAAATGCGGTGACAGAAGCGGTAAGGGCCATCATGCAGAATAGTCCTATTTCAGGCATTAGCCGCATCCCACGCCCCAGATCCCGACAGAGATACTATAGACAAATGCAATCATTGCAACATGCCTGAGTATCTTGTAGTCTCCTGTCCGTACATCGTACTCCTAATGCGCAATCCTCACTGTAAGCGAACACAGACAACGCAACTTTGTTTCTTCGCTTTGCGAAAATTCGACGGCCCACGAACCTAGGTAGAAGGAGGCTTGTCACCTGCCCGTTTGCTCAGTCTGGTTAGAGATGGAAGATGGCCAGTAACGGCTGCGACTTTACCCGACGAAAACGAGAGCATCACGTGGTACCATTTGTGGATGTCATGCTTTCTTCAGCCTCAGAAAAATTCCCTCGATGAAACGACCTATTAATATATACTCCTCAAAAGGGGCTTTCAAGAGATCGTCTATTTACTTCTGCTTCATCTTCCACAGCGGAGCGGCCATTCACTGCCCCGCGGCATGACGTCTGTGCTGTTCCTCTGCTTCTTCACCGCATCGACTGTTGGGCTTAATGTGATCCAACCAGTTACAACTCTTGAGATCTCTGCAACGAATCCCCTGTAAGACAGCCGGATCTGTCATCATCTCATTCGAGGAAAATATACTATCAATCTCTCAGGCGATAAGCTGAAGAAAATTTCGCCCATACTTTTCTGTCCTGCTTCGCTAGACATTCCTACGATCTTCAATTCGGCTGTCTGTCCGGTCGGGCGACTCTTGGCCGAGGCTAGAAGCTATTCCCCCGGCGTGCTGGGTCATAATATAGAAAATTTCCAACAGAAGGACATCCCGATTGCTAAAATGACTTCTGGGAGCTCTAATCGGAGAGGCTCTGGCCACAAGAGCTTCTTTGCCAGTGTGAGTGCTTCTATTTCCTTGTGCTGCCTTTGTCACGGCTTGTTTATCGCTTGGAGTATGGGATCTGCCTGAACCATGCAGACCTTGTGTACATATATCTGTCATGTCGCTTTTGCTTCCTCGACAAGGCTTTAACTGCCTTCAAGGCGCATTGGCACGAAGTGACAGGAGAAATTGAACGGAGAAAGAAAAGGAGGTGCCGCAGGCAGAGAACAAGCTTGATCCATCTCTTACCCAAGGACAATGCTTCCAAAAAGTCATTTCTGTTGACTGATATTTACTGCCCTCGCTTTATGAGGGCTTTGTCCTCCCTCTTTCTACCCGGTGTCAATCACTCGGAAAGTGCTCTTGGAGCAGACATCCAGAAAGACAACATAGAATTTTTCATACGGTCACTTAACTAACTAACGCATCTATAGTCAGATGATACAAAGATTTGTGTGGTCATGGTTGGTCTTCCAGCCAGGGGCAAGAGTCTCATAGCTGGAAAGGGTAGGTATACTCTCATTCCTTTATCTATCAAAGATAGGAGGTTGACGATATTAAATCTAGCTATGCGGTATCTTGCTTGGGTTGGTATTCCAGCCAAAGTGTTCAATGTGGGCACCTATCGTCGACAGGGAACTCCGCAGCCAACAGCTACTTTTTTTGACCCTCACAACACTGAAGGGGAGAGAATGAGGAGAGCCGCTGCAGAGGCGGCATTGTCAGACATGCTCAACTGGTTCAAAGCGGGCAAAGGCGTTGTAGCTATTCTTGATGCGACCAACTCCACAAAATCGCGACGTCGGTGGATCTACGAAACCTGTCGCGATGCTGATATTGAGACCCTGTTTGTCGAGTCAATATGCGACGACGAGGACCTCATAATGAATAATATCCTCGAAGTCAAAACCACCTCACCGGATTACAAAGGACAGGATCCTGAGGTTGCTGCCTTGGATTTTCGAAACCGCATCCGCAATTATGAGAAAGTTTACGAAACCATTGACGATAATGAGAAGCAATTCACATATGTAAAACTCATCAATGTCGGCTCCACTGTCATCATCAACCAAATAAAAGACTATCTTTCGAGTCGATTGGTGTACTACATTCAGAACCTACATATCAAGCCTCGATCAATTTGGCTTTCTCGCGTGAGTCATACCCAAGCATGTATAAGACTGAGTGGTGCTAACTGTATTCAGCATGGCGAGTCGGAATATAACCTCACGGGAAAAATTGGCGGAGACTCCAACATCTCAGAACGGGGTGAAGCTTATGCTCAAGCTCTTCCCGGTCTTCTGCGAAAGTCTGGAGTTCCTCCTAATGCCAAAATCGTCATTTGGACTTCCACTCTCAAACGAACGATACAAACTGCTCGGCACCTGGCGGCTGAGACAGGCTACGAGAAGTTAGAGTGGAAAGCCCTCGACGAACTTGACTCCGGTGTCTGTGACGGGCTCACGTACGAGGAGATTGCAGAGAAATATCCCGATGACTTTGCAGCGCGTGATGAAGACAAATATAACTATCGTTACCGAGGCGGCGAGTCTTACCGTGACGTTGTCATTCGTCTGGAGCCAATCATCATGGAACTCGAGCGCAGTGAGAATGTCATTATCGTCACTCACCAGGCTGTTTTGCGTTGCATCTATGCGTACTTCCTCAACACTCCCCAGGAGCAGAGCCCGTGGATGGAGGTTCCTCTTCATACGTTGATCAAGCTCACGCCTCGTGCATACGGCACCGAAGAACAGCGCTTCAAAGCTGACATACCCGCTGTCTCCACTTGGCGTGCGAAGGGCACCTCAGCGAAACATCAGGAATTTCCCACCGAAGTGAAGCATTGAAGTGCAAATAAAGATTCAGTCTCCTTCGGGCTTTTTTTGGCTTGTTTAGTTCTCTCGCAGGCTGTGCCTCATCTTTTACCCACCAATGTCCAGAGTCTCATGTGTGGTCGTCAAGACCAGCAAGCTTAGTCTTGTCATGGACGCGTCTCACAATAGCCTTTTCCTTACTCGACAGGGCTTTCTATTTCCGAACATAACGATTAGTCGATTCAGTGGATCACACGGTTTGTAACGATGTTGCAATTCGTCCGACTCTTTCATGGGCTGCACGATATGACTGAGTGGTCTTGCCTTTGTTTTGTTTCAATTGTTCTCTCCTCGATGCATAGCCCCCTGCTCGTCGTCCTAGTCCCTCGGTCACCCGGCTACAACCGGGGAGTCCTTCAGATACCAGAAGCGTCTGAAGTGCAAGGCGTTTTCATGTCACATATAAGACTCATCTATTATAGAACTGTATATCGCTGAATGCACATAATGACTGTAAACCCCCAATTCCCCATCAATGCCACCTGAGGTACCTTATGACGTCTTCAAACAAAGTGCGGGCAGAAAGGCTCATCTATAGCGACATGATTGGTTGAGGGAGCAGACGGTGAGGGTGACCCCTGTCACATGAGAGGGCGGGAAACAAGCGTCACTACAGGGTAGATACACCGTACATGGTGTTTCCGGGGAATTCAGGTAGCTCCAAACCACACACACCATGGCCAGAGCAGCATTTTAGCTGCGCTCAGACCTTCATTTCTTCTAATTGGACATGAATTTGAATTGTGCCCTCAGAGGTGAAGAGGCGCGATCCGAGGAGCTCGCCGCCGAGCCATGTTATCCGCTTTCACGGCTCGGCCGCTCGTCGAGCTCAAACAACGCGACAAATCGAAAATAGAGTCGGTCCTTGCTTACGGCGATCGCCTTCTGGTAGGACTGAACAATGGTAGCTTGCGAATATACAGGGTCAATGAGGTCTCCAATGGCAGGCAAGCGGGGGATGATCATCATGCCCAGGGCGAAGAGGGTGGAAGTACGATGAATAACGGGGACAGCAGCAGGCCTGCGACCATGAGCTCCGTCACGAACCCAAAGCCTAAACAAAGCGAGCTACTTCGGGAGTTGGAAAAATTTTCCAGGCATAAAGTTGAACAGTTGGTGTTGATCAAGGAGGCCAAGCTTCTCATCTCGCTTTCGGGCGGATACGTATCGATTCACGACTTACAAACCTACGAGTTCCAAGAGCAGCTTACGAGGACCAAAGGCGCGACTACCTTTGCTGTGACTTCGAACATAGTTCACGACCCCGAGACCGGCGTCCCGTCGATCGTATCGCGCCTTGCCGTGGCGGTCAAGAGAAAGATCCTGCTGTGGACATGGCGCGATATGGAATTGGAGAACGATACGGCGGAAATGAGCCTGGCTAGTGGGATAAAAACACTCACGTGGGTCTCTGGAACAAAAGTCGTCGCTGGGCTGAGCTCGAATTTCGTGATGGTGGATATTGAGAACACAAATGTCACTGACCTGGTCGGACCGGGCAGCATTGGTGGACTACCCGGACAGGAGACAGGGCGTCTGGCCGGTGTTGGCGTTGCTAGTATGAGTTATATTGGGATTGGCGGAACTGCTCCGAAACCGCTGGCTACTCGGCTAAGCGAAGGGCAAGTATTACTGGCGAAGGATATCAACACCCAGTTTATTGACATCGAGGGCAACTCCTTGGGAAGAAGGCAGATTCCTTGGAGCCATGCGCCTTCCGACATTGGGTACTCATATCCTTTTCTACTGGCACTTCATGACTCTTCGAAGGGGGTGCTGGAGGTCCGAAATCCTGAGACCCTGAGTTTACTCCAATCGATATCATTACCATCTGCGAGTCTCATGCATATCCCTCAACCCTCAATCAGCTTAGCTCACGCTGGCAAAGGATTCTTGGTTGCTAGTGACCGGATCATCTGGAGAATGGAGGCTTTGAGTTACGACACTCAAATTGATGCTCTCGTGGAAAAGGGATATCTGGATGAGGCGATCAGCCTCTCTAATATGCTTGAGGATGCACTTCTCACAGACAAATATGGTCGGCTACGCTCCATCAAACTTGAGAAGGCGCAGACGTTATTCTCTCTCCGAAGATATCTCGAGTCTATGGAGCTCTTCACGGAGATCTCAGCTCCTCCCGAGACCGTCATTCGGCTTTACCCGCGACTTATAGCTGGCGATCTCTCCTCCATTCCGAAAGAGCAAGAAGGATCGGAAGCGAGTACGACGGATAGTCAGCCAAAGCCCGAACAGGAGCAGAGGCAAGACACAGTCCCTGCTATCTCGGATGACGCTGCGCTTGCCAGGTCGCTGGCGCATACACCTTCAGTGAGGTCCCTCCTTCGAACGAAGACGGATGACGCCAGCGATGCGGGTAGCATCCGCAGCAAGCTCGTAGAAGATTCTCGAGGCGATAGACGCCTTGAAGGAAAAGACCTCAAGCTTGCTGTTCGGGAGCTCCAAGCCTACCTGGCGGATGTTCGCCGGCGATTCCAACGATTCCTGAACCCCGATGGCTCGCTCAAGACGGATCCGACAGCTGATGCAGTGAAAGATGAGTTTACGGATTCCGTGATGAAGTTACTTGAAATGGACAAAGATCAAGGCGAAGATGACTTTGGTGAGAGGCTTCGAGCCAAAGCTAAACTCGTCGACACAACGCTCTTCCGAGTTTATATGTATGCAACGCCATCTCTTGCTGGCTCCCTCTTCCGTATCGCCAATTTTTGTGATCCGGACGTGGTTATTGAAAAGTTGGAGGAGAGTGGCCGCCAAAACGACCTCATTGACTTCCTCTACGGGAAGAAGATGCATCGTCAAGCCCTGGAGCTATTGAAAAAGTTTGGCCAGGCCGAAGTGGACGGAGAGACTGTGTCTCAACTTCAGGGTCCGAAAAGAACAGTTGGCTATCTGCAGAATTTGTCTCCTGAACATATTGATTTGATACTAGAATTCGCTGAATGGCCAATGCGTGAAGACCCTGACCTGGGCATGGAAATTTTCCTTGCGGATACTGAGAACGCGGAAACATTGCCTCGTCATCGAGTACTAGATTTTCTGAAAGGGATTGATGTCCGTCTGGCTGTTCGGTATCTTGAGCATGTCATTGGAGAGTTGAATGACATGACGCCAGATCTACACCAGAGCCTTCTGAGCCTTTACCTGGATCGCTTGGAGGAACACAAGAACAAAGAATGGGAGTTCGCCAGTGAAGAAGACAGAATTGATTGGCGGAACAAGCTGCTGGACATGCTCAGGACAAGCTCTCAGTACTCACCGGCGAAGATTCTCGACCGCCTGAATCGAGATGGTAAGTCCAGGGCTTGCCAGCCCTTGGCCAGGGTACATACATTGGTCTGACTTATCTTTACAGATCCTGAGTTTTTCGAGGCAAGGGCGATCGTTTTCAGTAAGATGGGACAACACAGACAAGCGCTAGAGATATACGTGTTCAAACTGGAAGACTATGTCAAAGCAGAAGAGTCAGTCCTTACTGCTTATGAGACTAGCAAGGTCACTGCTAAAATCTGGTCCGCAGGTATTGCAACCACCTTCACAAGACCGAAGACGCCACGAGCACAGAGACCACGGCTATACAAAGTATAGCTCTTCCGGATTTCAAGGGAGAAAAGCCTTCCATTTACCTAACCCTTTTATCTCTTTACTTGTCTCCGCCCCATGGATACAAACCACGATACGGGCCCGCGCTAGAGGTGCTCGCGAAACATGGATCCCGCCTTCCTCCAAACTCGGCTCTGGAACTAATTCCGGAAACCCTGCCAGTCAAGGAACTGGAATTCTATTTCAAAGGTCGTATGCGGGCGGCGAATTCTATACTCAATGAGTCCAGAATTGTTGCCAACCTGCAAAAGTCGCAGAGTATCAAGACGCAAGCGCAGCTGTTGGTCGGCGAGGGTGGTGACGGGAAGTCGTCGAGGTCGAGGCATGTCACAATCACAGAAGAAAGGATCTGTGGGATTTGCCATAAGCGACTTGGTGGGAGTGTGATCAATGTCTTCCCTGAGTAAGTCTCTCAATCCATCGAGCACTGTGGTGGTTTTCCCTCCGTCTTCCGCAGACTCTCACTGACTTTCATAGCAATACTGTTGTCCATCTTGGCTGTGCTAATCGCAAAGCTTCCATCGCTTCCTAAATTTATTTCTATTGCACAGTTGAATGTTTGTGTGGTCTTTCCACATCGAACTGCATTTTCTTTTGTTCCTTCTTTCTGGTGCGTCTCAATTCAATGCGAAGGGTGGAAATGTGAATGATATGGCGGGAGCAATGTGATACCCCAGGATAGAATAAATATCCAAGGATTCGACTGAACATTTTTGAACCAAATCAATCGCCGGTGTCGTGAATTGATCTCGTTGTGTAGCAGAACGGAAGATTGGCTCTGGCGAAGAGATCCATCCCTAAGTCACGGACCAAAGTACCGTCCATGCAAGAAAAGCTTTAAGCATCCTCCTCGACCACCTCCTCACCGTAGTTCTCCTCTTCCTTGGCTTCTTTCTCAGACAATTGACGTCCTTGCGCTTCCGCTTCCTTCTTATCCTCTTCCATTCGCTCCGTCAGAAAGACATTGATTTCGTCTTGTAACTTGGGTACTAGGCTTCTGAGTTCGGAGAGATAAGCCACCTTAACTTTCGTGTTCTCGGCTGAGGTATCGGAAGAAGGATGGGGGGAGGAAAGCTGGTGTTCGAATGTGTTTGTCGATGGCCGAGGAGATTCGTAGACGGCGCGGAGGACTTGCTGAGAAGAATTGTTCGAGGCCATGATGATGATAGTAACAATTGAAAGTCTTCTTGCTTGGTGTTTATTCGAAAACGAATTTTTTGGAGACAAATTTTAATTCAGCAGAACCTGGAACTGTGAGGTCGCGGGGTGGTGGAAATTCAAAGGAAAGAGAGTTGCTGGGCGGGCGGGGCCAACATGAGAAGGCGGCGTTGTTTCAAGTGCAGCTCAGGCCTAGGCGACGAAGAGATCGACGATGATGGGCGTTGTCCATCATTTCTCGGTGCTGATCTGGACCAGGTACCTACATATATTGAGGACTCAAAAGATTGCGAATGAAAACTACCTGGAAGGGGATCATGGGGGCACATTTATGATGCCCAAATTGCTTACTGACTAAACACGATTCGTCTCCTCTCATTCCGGACACGTCCTCTCGATGATGTTACGCTCTCCAATCCAACCTGAGCGCTCCTCTTCCCGGTCCCCAGCTCCACCGCGCCCATCCTTTGACGACGAATTAGAACGACCTGGCTCCTCTGGGAGTGATGCCTCTTCAGTTGCATCCAATGTGACCACTGTGTCTGCTATTCAGAGTTCCCTCAACGACTTCGGTGCTGCGCCAGGCACGTCCTCTCCCCGGATATTCCGGACTTCGTCGATTGCTGTGGTCGGCACCAACGGCAGTGGCACCACAGACAACAACTCCAGGCGCCCGTCCGCCTCATCTTTGATGCCCCAGAATGAGATGACCAGCAGGAAGCCCTCCGGTCGCGTCGTCCCGCCCGACCTGTCGAGGCATCGGCCACGACACCACTCGCAAGGCTTCTTCGAGCCATCCCTCCCGACAGCATCCTTAGCAGATGTCACACTTTCCGCATCGAGAATCGCAGCGCAGACTGCGATGCAGCAGCAGTCCTCCACTGTGCAACACCCGCCGAAACGATTACCTAGCAACATTCAGGGCCCTGATGATGGGGTGAAGGCCCGAAGGGGTGGAAGCATCTCGCCCCCTCCCCCACCGCCACAGCCAGTGCTGGCAGCCCCTAGCTCCGGAGCTACCTCAGGGCAAGCATATCAGAATGGCATTGTTGGCGGAAATGCTCTTGCGGCTACAACAGCTGCCAACGTGGTGTTTCCACGGGGACCCGCGCTTCAAGCTGGGATGCCTGGAGACCAGGCGCAGCCAGAGCGTGAGCAGAAGCACAAGGGCGATAAGCCGAAGATGAAGTTGTTTTCGAAGCCGAAGCATATCGGGATCAGTCGAGACAAGGATGCTTACGGGAAAGATAAGGGTATACCGTCGCCAAGCAAGATGGGCTTTCCGGGTTCGAGTGGGTTGTCACGCATCGTCAGCGGCTCAACGGATACGCAGCCCTCGAACTCATCGATGTATAGCTTATCTAATGCATCTGTGAGTACGGTAGTACCATCTGACAGGCAGACAGCCAGCGAGAAGGAGAAGGACAAGGACAAAGCCCATAAGCATCATTTCCTGTCGAGGCAGAAACTCAAACTGAAAGACAGAGACGATCATTACAACCTGCCCCTATCTTCGGCATCTAGCAATTCCAAACCATCCGATCCCAACGCACCACAATCTCTTTATTCCTTCACCCCGGCGTCTCCCAACGCAGGGTCGACTACATTCAGCAAAACTGTTGGTGGGTTGGACCTCCTGCACGGTGGTCGGGCGCTTCGCGAAAAGAAGAAAGAGGAGAAGTTGAGGGAGGAAATAGAGCAAGACTTGGTGGTTAATGGCGTTACGCCAGCTGTCTTTTCGGTGCCGTCGTCCCTTGGAAACTCGACAGGAATCCTGCCCGAAGCTGCCCTTCGGGAGACTTTGTCGGGGTTTGGACTCCACAATATGACTCCCGATGATGCCTGGGATTTCTTGAAGGCGAAGCTGTTGGTTATATTTGATGGTGAGGACGTTCGTATAGCAATTGAGGACCTGAACAAGTTGGTTCTTGTTCACATTCAACGCTGCGTGCAGAAGCGCACGCCAACCGCCATTGTCGACGATTTACGAGAGTTACTTGAGACAGGATGTTCCTCGTTAAATCATACGCTGAACGGAGTGCCTGACGAGAAGCTGGTCCCTCATTTGGTGCAGATATGGCTACTGGTTTTTGGCACCATTCTTCCATTTATCCAGGCTGTGTTTTTACCTCTCGATCTTGAATTTCGAGGCGCTGGTTCAGTGATGAATTTACGGGAAGCAAAGGATTTCTGGAACTCTGTACCGACCGGCAAGGACTTTGAAAATGAGCTCGAAGTTCGACATCTGGTCCTGGTGGCCTTCCGTGACATGGTCATTCTAAAACGTTATGAAGGCTTGAAAGCTACGTTTTCTCGCTTGAGTCTTGATAGCATCAATGTGGGCTCGTCTGCTCTCAGCATCACAACAAAGAGCAGTAACAACAGCGGCCGACCTGCCACTGCCGCTTCTCTCGATGCTGGCTTTGGCAGCTACAGTTCTCAATCATCTACGCTCCTCAATGCTGCGGGCAGTTACTCCTCTGACTCGATGAGCAATCGGAGCCGTGCTGCATCAAATACCTCGTCCAATCCGGACCAACTTATCTTCCAGTCCTTCTCATCTCCAAATCAACGCGCGACCATCATTCACAGGGCCTCGCATACGGCAGATACCTCCCAGCTTATTACTGAGACGGTCGGGCGGATGCTACAATGTCTCAGTGTCCTAGCCAGTGTGCACACAGGTGATCAAGCACAAGAGAAGATTGAGACTCTGAGCAAAGCACTCAAACACAACTGGCTCGGACGCGGACGGACAGGGCGGGACCGACGCGGGTTTGTCGGAGCGAAGATTCGGCCCACCATAACGACACGCACGAATAGTGATGAATCTACGAATGATCCAAGAAATGGCGATTCAGGCTGGCAAATGCGTGACGGGCGCCAGGAAGTGAGTGTCCTGTAAGACTCTGGAGGCGGGTTAGACTTTTGCAGCGAGTCCTCTTACTGGCTACCTTGATTCTTTTTGTTTTTCTCTGGCACAGAATAGATACCTCTTTGTTGGTTGAATTGTCTGGGGTATCTGGTGTATATGGTTATCACGTTGAGCCGGGCCTCGAACTACCATAACGAAGTTTCATCTGCCTGTTCTTTTGATGCTTGTCACTGGTCACTGAGATTCACGAAATCCTAAGTGAAACTCCATTCTCTGTATCTATACACCCATGACGCCTTTGAGCCACCCCTCGGCCGAATCAACTGAAAAGAAAAAGTATGTTTCGCAAGTCCCAATTAGCCATGCTTTCCATACCGCAAGAGCGATCTCTCAGTCCTCGGTCTGAGCTGCTGCTGCAGCTTGAGCCCTCTTGCTCAGCTCTTTGAACTTCTTCTGAATCGCATTCGCAGGATAGTTGTTCCCTCCATCCGCAGCAACACCCTCGGCGATCTTTTGCCACTTCTCCTGCTCGAATTTCTCCTCAACTTCTTTCTTCACCTTGAGAATCTTGGCTTCCTAAGCAGACAAGCACATACTCATTCAGTCTCTTCCACAGGACACAAAATCAAGCTCCACCTGGACAGGTCACTTACATCTTCTGCACTGATGGAGACGAAATTCGCCTTCATGGCCGTGTAGCGCTTCCGCAGCGTGCTCCCTTCAACCTTGATACCAGTCATACTCGTCCAGGTATTGGTGATCTCAGTCCAGCTACGGCCTTCCTCGTCTCTCATCCGCAAAACCATCCTGTCGGCCAACCCGGCTGATTCCAAGGAGGTCGGAATAGCACCCAAGGTTTTCTTGGGCGAAGTCTTCCCCTTCTTGGTTGGGGTCTCGGGGCTGTCTGCGTCTGCATCGTCGTCTGCGCCCTCCGCGGCCTTCTTCCGGCCTCGCTTGCGAGGTGTCGCGGTTGCTGGGGCCGAGGTTGGCTGTGGTTCCTGTGTGGTGTTAGGTTGCTGCGTTTCTTTGGAGGGGGATGTTCTGCTTACCTCTGCGGCTCTGGGAAGCATGTTGATTGACTCGTTGTTCTCAATCTTGATCTCAGCGACGTTCAATTCGGTGTTGATGGGGGTGAAGTTACGAACTGTGAGGACTGGTCCTGTGGGGTCGATGGGGGAGGAGGTGCCGAGATTCATTGCTGGAGGGCTGATTTTCTATCAGTAGAGTGGTCTCAACCAAAGACCAGTGACTGTGGAGGGTAGATGTGTGGATTGAGAAGCGAAAAGGAGGATGGATGTGAAGACAAGAACAGGGAGGAGGATAGGGAATTTATGTGAGTTTCAAGACAGCAGGAGTATAACACTGGCCTCTCTATCGCTGTGTGGATTCCATTCACTGGACCATGTGAAATTCTGGCAAGCGTGAGAGAATTCTGTGTTCATCAATCAACTGAATGCTGAGTGTCTTCTCTGTATGCATTGTGTTTCCTGGGACTTGTTCTCAATGAGTCTTGCGGTTCAATAAGCCATACTGTCTAGATAGCATAGCAGATAGCGTATATAGAATTGCTTAAGTTCATTTCCAAATTTGGCAACTTTGATGCTTCTTTTCACTTTATGTACACTTGCGGTCTTACCGGGCTCTCAGAACTACAATGTGAACGCGATGGTTGGGAGGCCGAAGAAACAGCTCATCGAGAAGCAATCTTCAGTGCTGCTCAGATTTCCAGTTCGTCAACATATTGTTGGTATCATTGTATGTTGGCACTCAATATGAGGCATCTCCTACAAGTCAACTATAGGTACCTTGAGTGATTCGCGATCTGAGATCTGGTTTACATATCTATCTGACTTTAATCACTCGCTTCCTGCGACTTGTCTAGAACACGAATCCTCTCTGGTCTCGTTCGTTGAAACGGCCATGGCGCTGATCCTGGCCGCGCCACAACACAGCTATCACATTCTGTGACCACGGCAAGCAGGAAATGCATCAACTATAGAGAATTTGGCGACCATCACATTCGAACAATCCTGGTCGAATTCCAATCCGCCCGTCGAGGATTCCTTGTTTCCACTGGTGACGATCATCTCGATTGAAAGTGAGGCTGCAGCCTTGACATCGGGAAAAGTTCCATGATGTGACTGTGATGGTCCAAGCTCATCATTTATGTTTTGAACATCTACTCTTAGTCGTCCATCGATAATAAGGAGATCGGTGCTAGATTACGACTACCCATTCTCTTTTGTACTGACTGCTTATTGTGAAGGACAAAAGTCTGCGGCAATGCAGTATCGTACGGGGCTAGGATGGGTCTACCCTAAGTGAGCAAAAGTACCATCACGAGGACCGAAACCCACTAACAGCTCCAGCCTACTCGTGCATCCTACTGACTGTACATGGGATGACAGTTGTGGATGGAATCCACTCTGTAGTCTGGTTTCATTGTGGACTTGCTGCTTGCATGGTCTTTCCTGGACTCAAGACCCACGAAATCGAGTCCTTGTGTAACCATAGGATCGACAGCTGCAGATGGTCTAGTCCTTTGCCCTGTTGTCTCTGCTGTTCTCTCCCACGCTACCGGAATAATGGATAGTGTTGGGTCGCTTAGAGCCAACGAGAAAAAGTCGGTGACGACTGATTAGGAATGTCCTCGGAGCGCGTTGATACGATGCGATGAAGAGGCGATTAGGCAGATAGGCAGGCAGCAAGCGCTTCGTTTCTTGACAGAGCTACTGTATTGAGAGTCATTTGGTCAGCGAGCTCAATTTGTAGTTTGGTTGATGACGGTCCACGAGACTGGCTCGTTGGATGACTGTCCACTGAGAATTAGTCCGTCGTGATTTTGCTCTCACTCTCCCTTGGAGTCGGGACAAATCAGGTGCATTTATTCTTCAATGATTCCGTGGGGCTGAAGGCAAACGAGGTTGGCCAACTGGTCCATTTCTGAAGGCCTCGCAGTGACAGGGCTGGGATTATCAGCCTAGAGAAAAAGCTGCAGCCCCAGGCCACCACTAGGCTCACCAGGCACCCACCCCCAATCATCGCCAACAGTTCAGGTACGCAGTAGATACCTACCTTAGGTACCTAGGTACCTTAGTATTCATTTCATTTCGTCTTTGGCTTCTTTCTTAGATGATTGTCCGGCCGTCTCCTGCCTGGGCATTGTCTCTAGAGCTCTATGTACTGACTGTATCTTCTCCTTTATTTAGTTCCTTTCACTCATCATCCAGCTCCATGCCCTGTTTCGCCTTGTCTTAGAGCTCCTTTGTCACTTCTAACTCACACTTCACGACAACTTCAACCAGCTAGCCTATATCAACCCATCCTAAAGCCATAAGGTACCAGTCATCCTCACCGCCACAAAGCTGAAAGCTCCTTTCTTTCCCGTCAGCCAATCTTGAAGGGCCAAAGGACGCAAGGCGCTCCGTGTTCTAAGGACATTCGTCTTGGTTTCCCAGTGTACGTCACGGATGCATTCTTTTCATCAAAGTATTTCTAGCTCACTATTCCTTTCTGAATTGTTTTCCTTCTTGATTCTTTACCTCCAGCCTGGAACTGTTCTCTTTTCTTCTTCGATCGTGCTGATCGTGCTACAAAGGCAGATAGCAACGGCTCTACGATTTAATCTATAATGTCAACTGACCCCAGCGTTGTCCCTAGCTCCACAAGCTCCCCATCATTGATCTCAGTGCCCGACACCCCGACCGACCCAAGCTCCGGGCCGTTCACCCACTCTACCGCGCCGCCCTCCGAAGCTCCACTGCGGAACCCGCCCCAAATTAAAGAGGCCCAAGCTAAGCATTCCGCTACGATGGCCGATTCCAACGCCACCAGTAATACTGGTTTGGATACCAAACACGAGGTAGAGCCTTCCATCGACAACAATGGCGTCAAGACGGAGACAAAGCCATCTGTGTCTGTTACGGAAAATGCCTCCGTCAAAACCGCATGCAAGAAACATTCTGGGAAAGAGTCGGACATCACCGGTCGAAAACGTGATTCCAAGAAAAAGAGCCATAAATCGGCGTCAACGCCCGACGAGGATACGACCTCGGAGTCAACTTCATCCTCTGGCAGCAGCTCTAGTGTCAACGATTCTGGCTCCGAGGATGACGACGCTCTGTCCAGCTCGTCTGAATCAGAGACAGCTCGAAAGAACCGAAGAAACCGGACAAGGAACAAAGCCAAGAAGGTCCTTAAGGGTAACCGGAGAAGGAAGTCTCGGTCCCACCAGCAAGTAGCTTCGGATACAGACTCTGGCAGTGATGATGATAACGAAGATGATGACCCCCTGGATGAAAAAACACTGAGAAGGCTTTTGACTAGGCTCCAGGCGAAGAGGTTGGCCAAGAAGCGAACCAAGGGAAATTCCTCCGAGGATCAGCAGGAAGAAGAGGCTGAGGCCAATCCAGATGACCTGGCTTTGTTACTGGCAAAAGAAATGGCGGCTCTGAGTCTCAAACTCGGCGACGGACGCAAACTAGGCGATGGGCGCTGGGGCAGAGCTCGCGGGAAGAGACACGCGGCCGACGGCCTGACGGATGGTCAAAAGGGCAACCTGCAGAAATCTAAGCACAAAAAGAAAGCTGCTTCAAAGATGGCGTTCAAGCGGGTTGATCAATGTGAGTGAGCGTACACTCGTCTCCCCAGTCTGAGGGCGACATGTGCTGACGTTTTCTTCCCTCTCAGTGTGGGACAATACGATTCATAATTACAAGCTCACAGAGACTGTTGATGATACCGGTGCGAATGAGTGGGATCAGTATATTTTTACGGTTCGGCGCAAGTTCGACTGGGAGAACAAGTACCTGGAAACCGTCGTCGATATCAAGAGCAAACACTTGCGGGACGCTCTGGCTAAAGTCATGGACGGTGTCAAGGGCGTGAGCTTGGTACAGGAGACTGCCGTTGTCGATCCAAACATGCTCTTCCTGTATCTCGAGGAGACTCGGGCATACATGAAGGAGCTGAAGCAGCAGGCCAAGAAAGAAACGAAGAAGAAGGCTAGGAAGCTGGCGGATCTCAAAGCAGCGCAACTCAAGGTTCTCATCAAGTATCTGGACACTGACTACGCAGAGACGAAAAAGACTCTGTATCCTTTGCTGGAAGCGAACATGATCACCTTCGATCTGCTGTGGGCACTGTACAAGCCGAACACCATCGCCTATACATCGACTTACGGCAATCAGGACGAGCCCCGTGCCTTCAAAATTGAATACGCCACTAAAGAATCCTCTTTCATGAAAGGCCAATGGTACAGCATTGAGGGTCGTTACTTGGAATACGACGGCAAGTCGTTCGGCATGGGAACAATGGCCGCTGAAGTAGAGTTCTTCAAGGGCGTTCGCAAAATCACGAGCCTCAGTTGCTATCCGCTCAAGTACCACAGGGAGGCCGAGGAGGTCAAGGCCAAGCTGATCGAGCGCGGCAAGAAATTTGTGGCACTGAGGGGCATGAATTACCGCTTCCACAAGGGAATGGCCTTCTACAAGAAGAAGCGGACAGTCATCAAAGTCAACATCAATGGCCGAGTCATGATTGACCCCGCGATCCATCGTCGTATCAACCCCAATTACCCAATCAGCACTGTTCGTCCCAAGGACCCTGATATTGTAGGTGCATCAGATGACGATGCAAGCGATGACGGATGCAAATGCGGGATGTCTGATTCGGATGTGGATCAGCCACATCAGGACAGTCGAGACCCTGATAACCCCAAAATTGTATACAAAGTCGTGCAAGACAAAGACGGTAGACCTCGTGTTGTGGAAGTGGAGCTCGATGAGAATGGGAATGTGATCCAAAAAGAGAAGATAGACGAAGTACAGGACCCCTCTGACCGTGAATTCACGGAAGAGGAGTTGCTCATTGCAAGTCCGGTCGTTCTGGGGTTCGCCTTCAGCGAGAAGTTGTGGCTGGAGTTTAGCATCTCTGGAATCAGCGACATCGACTGGAACGAGGACGCTTTTGACTCTCTTGTCCTTCCCGACAATCAAAAGTCGATCGTCAAGGCTCTTGTGGAGTCGCATACTTTCCGCGCCGCGCAGAACATCGACGATGTCATTCAGGGCAAGGGCAAAGGACTCGTCGCCGTGCTCCATGGACCACCCGGCACGGGCAAGACTCTGACTGCGGAAGGTATCGCCGAGTTGCTAAAACGGCCTCTGTACATGGTCAGCGCCGGAGAACTCGGAACCGACTCGAGGACTTTGGAAGCGGAACTCAACAAGATTTTGGACATCGCGCACTCATGGGGCGCGGTCCTTCTGCTGGACGAGGCCGATATCTTCCTTGAGAAACGCACAATCCATGATATCCACCGCAACGCACTTGTGAGCATCTTCCTCCGCCTCCTTGAATACTTCCAAGGCATCCTCTTCTTGACCACCAACCGAGTGGAAACCTTCGACGACGCATTCCAATCTCGTATCCATGTCGCACTGCGATACGGAGACCTTACAACCAAAGCAAAGAGAAGCGTCTGGAAAATGTTCCTGGAAAAGGTCCAGGCTAAAGAGGGCGTACAGACTGCAAAATTCACTGACAAGGACTTTGATGCGCTGGCGCGTCACAATCTGAACGGACGTCAGGTAAGTCACCTTGCTTCCCCGTCACAATCCAAGCACATATCGACTGTTGCTAACACTCCTTCTAGATCAAGAACTCCGTCCGCACGGCTCAAGCGCTAGCAGTCAACGAACAGACCCCCTTATCGATGGAACACATCAAACGTGTCCTTGAAGTGGCCGAAACTTTCGACCATGACCTTCGCGGCGGAACCGGCTACATGGACGCTATGCGAAGCTATACGTAACACGACAATCCAGGTCGAATTCACTATGCTGATGAACTTTCCTTCTCTCCTTGCTTCCCTGGTGATATGGTCTTTCAGGAATACCCTTGCTTTTGCCCCCGAGACAGTTCCTGATCGTTTCGGTTTGATTTTATCTCACCTCACATGTTGTTTGATCTTTCTCATTTTGTGTTTCCATTTCTGCGATGTAGTTTATGATACGGCAGGATTGGCGAATGATACGTAACAGTTATTCGTCCAAGACAGGAAGAGATGCCTGAGACTGAGAAAACCTAGCGAGACTGTCGTGAGTCAATCCTTCTAAGGACACTTGGCTTGCACAGGGAAGCCAAATGTGTCAAATGAATACGAGCGAAGAACGAATTCAGAAACAAATTAAATTAAAGTTTTCATTTATAGGAAATACAATGTCATCTGCTTTTCCCGTCACGTTCTCGCCAGTCATCAAATCCTCGTCAAGGGAAGAGAAATGCTTCAAACTCTGCAGCTGCATTCAACCGGTATCAAAGTCGATGCGGGATGCGAAGCATATAGAAAAGGTGGGAATAATAGGCTAATGACAAAGTACACAAGTGACTGTTATACAGGGAGGAACGTAGCTGCAGAAGAATTCACACTTATGGGGAAAGCCATTTAGGGGTTCTGAGCGACGAAGTCACGGCCCTTCTGAATGTTCTTCTTGAGATCGGTAAGAGCAGCCTGGATGAGCTTCTCCTCGTAGGCGTTGACCTTGCCAACCTCGTGGATCTTCTCAACGCCGTTGGGGCCGAGCTCGACGCGGGAGGCGAAGAAGTCAACACCCTGGTCCTTGTAGAGAGGGCTCTCAACAAATGTGGGCTCGATGACACCCTTCTCGCCCTGAGAGGCCTTGAGGAGGGACTCGGCGAAGCGAGCACCGGCCATGGCCATGGAGAGGGTAGCGGAACCGGCACCGTCCTTGGCCTTGACGACCTCATCACCACCGAACTGGATGCGGTTGACGAGCGCATCGCGGGTCTCGCCCTCAATCTCGGGATGGTTGGACTGGGAGAGCAGAGGAACGATGGTGACACCGGAGTGGCCACCAACAACGGGGACGGCCTCGTTGGCGGGGTCGGTCTTCTTGACCTGGGAGATAAAGCGGGAGGCACGGACGACATCGAGGGTGGTGACACCGAAGAGACGCTTGGGGTTGTAGACACCCTTGGACTTGAAGACCTCAGCGACAATGGGGACGGTGGAGTTGACCTGGCCGTGACATTAGTGCTAATCTAGGCATCATTGCTCAGGACACGTACGGGGTTGGAGATGACCAGGATGTTGGCCTCCGGGGAAGCGTCAGCAGCAGCCTTGGCAAGGTCACGAACAATAGAGGCGTTGGTGTTGAAGAGGTCTGCCAATTGCAGCGTCAGTAATCGTGTTCGCATAGAGAAGCCCAATGAACATACCGTCACGGGTCATGCCGGGCTTGCGAGGAACACCAGCAGGGATGAGGACGATCTCAGAGCCCTTGAGAGCATCGCGGAGACCAGAGGGAGTAGGGTCGTAGCCAGTGACAGTGCTGTTGGTGTTGATGTGGCTCAGATCAGCAGCGACACCTGTCGAAAAGATCATCGAGTTAGAATACTGGAAAATTGGAGATTTGGCAATGCTCGTTTCGGATGTCCGGAGACGTACCAGGGCCACCGCGAATGTCATAGAGAGCAAGCTCAGTAACACGGGGGTTGAGCTTGAGCAAAAGAGAGAGAGGCTGGCCAATGCCACCAGCGGCACCGAGGACAGCGACCTTGGAGGCCTAAAGATGGAAATGGACATGGTTAGCACGTTGACAAAACTCCGAGGTACCGAGCCGAGCGATGGGAGGATCGGTGTACACACCTGGCTGGAAGAGGCAGAGAAGGCCCGCTTCTGGAGGAGATTGAAGGACTGACGAGCAGCGAACATTTTGTCTGTGATCCTAACACAAAAATTGATCTATCCGCAAAAGAAAATGACTTGAGTAGAGAGAAGGATGGAGGTAACCTGGATGGGGAAGAGAGGGAAGAAAGAAAAGGAAGAAGGACGAGTTGATGGTTGCCGGTGAGAAGGATTTTGGGGCGGCTAAGTCGCTCCGTTTCCGATCATCCCCACGGCGTGTCGCGGAACTTCTTCGTGTGTCACATGGAGATTATTTAACTTAGGTGCCCTGACATTCTGGGGAAACGTTATTTCTCTTCACCATAGCTATCTCTAGATGATAGAAGGTCCTGACAGATATTTCTTTTACTAATTTGTTGTTGCCCTGTCATTGACAAACTTCAACCTGATGGTCCCATTGCGTGGTCTCTTGTGTGGGTTATTTACCCGTTCTTTGGACTAAATTCATTGGTACCGGGTTCCTTCGAGCAAGTCCGGTGAGATCAATCGCAGGCAAAGATGTTTGATTATGCATTCAAGCGTCTTGCTGGATACCTTGCAGGGTCTTTCATCCGGTAGCACCGGGAGAAAGGAATTACCTGTCTGAGGTCAGAGAGCCGAGACCAGACATATTGCAATGCAAACTGGAGATCGGCCCGTCCATGCCACAGCAGCGGCCTGAAGGAACATTGACCACATCCCTTCCGCCCTTTTTATCCGTTCGTACGATAATCGTATTGTATATTGCGACCGCAGTTCTATTGCGCATCTTCAGTATGGACGAAAACACATAGTCTTCCTTGTACGTCATTCTTGATATTGAACTGACCCCAGATGAAACTCGAGAACTTGAGCACGATAGCGCCAAGTACTTGACTGCTGCAACCTGACAAACATACATCGGAAGCAAGCAAGACCAAGGAAAACCAGAACGCCTGCGCTTTCAAACCCAACCGAAGCAAGAAAAATGCATGATACAGGAGGAAACAGTCCCAGAGAAATGAGTATATAGCATAGAATTCACCTCAAAAAGTGTAAAACCAACCAGCAAAAGAGGAAGAAGATGAGAATACCACCCCAAAATATCCACTTGTCCTGCTTTGCTCTTCGTTCGACCTTTCGAATCGTGTCACCACTTACACCCAGGGTATTCGCAACACTGTACAGTCGGCGCTGCGTGCCTTTCAGCACCTCGCGTTGCTGCCCAAGGTCTGCCAGAACAGCGCGGCCTCGATCGAGAAATTCATCAAGTTGCGAGTTCGTGTTGGCAAAGAAGGACTGCTCTCGGAGCGCATGCGTCTCCCTGTTGTAATCCGCCGGTGAAGCTCCAAAGCTGAGACCTGAGCGGGATGACGAGGCGTTTGCAAAAGGCGAAGATTGCGGGAGGGAAGATTGGGCGTAGGGGTTTTCGGGAGTCGCAGCGTGGTGTGGTCGTCGGCCAAGAAGCTCGTGGCGATTTGTCACCGATTGCTATCCACCGGTGCACCGTAGTTAGCAATTGCCAGGACTCGTATACAATGGGGGAGGGGCTTGAATATGAAGAGCTTACAGCTTCCTCCCGCTCCTTTCGAAGTTGATCAAAGTGTGTCCTGTAATCCGCAAGCTCCGCGCGAAAATTTTTGACTCTTTCAAATGCCTTTTCTTGCTTCTCAGGTATCAGTTCCTTCTTGGACAAGGCGGAATAGTCATCAATGGTCCGTGATAGCAACGCCAAGGAAGCTGCAATCTGGCCTAAATACTCCGCGCATTAGCAAGCCACGCAGAATAATAGGAGATACGCTCAGCAGTGAACTTGTAGCCATGTACCCAATCTGACATGGGAGCGCATATCCTCGAGCCGTACCTTGTAAAGCTGCAGATGTTGTTGCGGGCGACTGAGAGAATGTGTCCAGATCGCGGCGGATAGCAGAAGACTGCTTGAGTGCTGAATTGAAAAGGGAGTTCTGTGATTCATGTTGGGAGTCATATGTCAGTCATCAACCATGCGCTTCTATCGATGGCTGGTAAGATTCACACACCATATTGCTTTCGCAGAAGCTATCGAAGAGAGCTGTTTGTTTGTATATGGTTTCACGAGTAGAACAGGATGTACTCCATATGATTGAGCAAAAAGACGCGATGCTCTCCAGACGTATGTTCGATATTAAATTCAACAATAAAGCGTTAATCAGTGTCGGGGAAGAAGTTATACTTCAAGATATCCTTCCAACGATGCCAATGATTGTGGAAAGCCGAGGCCACATGTTCTTGCAGCGGATACGAATTTGACGTCGTTGACCGCCTCTGACATATGAGCTGTCACTACTTGAAAGGCGGGTACCTCTCTACTTTGATCACTATCTAGACCTTGCAAAGTTGCAACTATCAGTATAATGCCCATGGTTTATAATTTAATCTTCCACATGTGATGTGATGAGGCTTTTCACAGTGACTATATTACTATATTGCTTTCATCCAGCATGTTAGCGCATGTGCCATAACCATCACAAACATAATGGATATATATTATGTGACTTCAACTTGTGAGACGAGTAGGTTAATATTCTCAAATAAGTTACAATATGACAAGAAAGAATTACAAACTCCATTCCCCCTGGAATTCATGTAAAACCACTTGGCTCACCCAATTATAACTCCATATGTAGAAATGAACTCAAGAAGCTCTGGGCCGCTGCTCATGTCATATCCACTGTGCTTCAAGCCTATTTAGGAGGGTACTTGTTTTGTAGCAGCCACCTAAATTTCATCGAATTAGCCCAAAATCTCTTCTATGCCTTCCATGTCGCAGGATGCCGGGGCTCAGAAGAAAGCTGGAAAACTTACTTGCTGACAAAGTAATCCACCGTACTGAAGGCTCCGACGATACCAGACCATGTACCAACAAGCTTCCACGACAGCTTGCCTTCGGCATGCTTCCTGTATGCGCCATATCCGAGCGCAGCACCAACCAGCGCGTACAGCACGGCATTTCCGAGGAAGACAGGGTTACGCTTGGCGACATGGCCGGCGCGCGCCGCCTTCGCTTCCGCCTTCTGCGCCTTTTCCCGCTCTTTCCGCTCTTCTTTCTCCTGTGCCTCTCTTTCTAAGCGATCAGCCTGAGTAGTGGTCTTCACTTCTTGGCTGAGGAAATCCGAGTCCACTGAAACCACATGCGGGGAGTCGACGTCAACTAGGGAGGCCGTGCTCTCCGCTGTTTCACTCAGATAGGTTCGTGGTGGGTTAGGGGCGCGACTGTATTGTGGAGTCGGTCAATAAAACTCAGAAATTCGACCAGTTTTTAAATAATAACTTACGCCTACATCAGAGCCTGTCAGTCATATCGTCTTTCAGATTTGCAGCATCCTCATGGGAAGCAAGAGAAACTGAAGGTAGGACACGTACCTCCTCTGGTGTTTGCTTAGGGCCTTTGGCCGCAGCTTCTGCGTAAGACATGCTTGCAGGACTTCTGTAGTATAAAAGCCTGGAGGTGACGAAAAGAGATCTGTTACCAGTCAGTGCTCCTTATCAGAAGTCGTAATGTGCACAATTGGCGGCATATCGCCGAGCGGCTGCTCCGAGGTTGCCCAAGTGATATGGTACAATATCACTTACAGGAAATAAGGTGATATTGGAAGATTCAGAGATCAAAAGGTAGTAAAAGATCAACTGAGGAAGGTGGGACACTAGAAAAAGAATTTGGGCAGGTGATGACTACCTCTATTTATGTAGAATGCAAGGGCCCTAGCAATGGCTCACAAGTATGACATCACTTCCTCGGCGGAGTGGGCACTGCACACATGGTGTGACCATGAAAAACGCCGCCAAGGCCTCATGGATACCGGTCCGTCACCTGTGCTTACTCTTGTCAGTTTCCAATCTATCTCCGTCCTATAATGTTTACCGACTTGCGCGAAAGTTCGAAATCAAGTGGAAATATGTCTTCGCGGACGCGGCTTGATCGGTCTGCGCTTGTCGCGCTCAACTGACCTGGCGCAGATTACCTGTCGAATCGAGAGACGGCGAAGCGGTGCGGCAGCCCTGGTCAGATCTGGCTATCGATGATTGCATGGGGTCATACGCACCGTGAACCATCCTCAGACCATTCCAAGAGGGCAGCATCGCCAATCTGGAGTGAAGCCATATTTTTACGAATTTTGGATCGTCAGTTAGTGTTGCTCTGCGTCGTAGAAATAGACTAGTAGGTCAGTTAAAAGCTTCTGAAGTAACAAAAGGAATCAATATTGAAATGCTGGAATCGTACTCAAGTGACCAGAAACGGTCAGAATCAACTATAGTAGATATTTTTGGATACATATTACACAGACCATAGAAGAACTCCGATCTCAAATGTTACATTTGGTATTTCGGAACTCTGATTGGTCAAACTTCGTTCACAGAAGAAGCTCCAGGGGATTCTCAACAATCTTCTTCAGCTCCTTGATCCATTCAGCACCAACAGCACCATCGACAACCTTGTGGTCGAAGCTGCCAGTAACGACAATCTGATCATCCCACTCAACGGAGGTACCCTCCTCAGTCTCAACGGGAACAGCAACCTTGCGGGTGGTGCCGACGGCCAAAATACCAGCCTGAGGGGGGTTGATAACAGCGGTGAACCGCTCAACAGCAGGGTTCATGCCCATGTTGCTGATGGTAAACGTGCCGCCCTGGTACTCATCGGGCTTGAGCTTGTTGTCCCGAGCGCGCTTACCGAGGTCCTTGATCTGGTTAGAGATGCTGGAAAGGCCAAGGCCCTGTACGTTCTTGACAACGGGAGTAATAAGACCATTAGGAGTAGCAACCGCAACGCTAATATCAGCAGTGTTGTGCTGGCGGATGACAACCTGGCCATTCTCCTCGCGCCAGCTCGAGTTGACGGCAGGGACCTTCATAAGAGCGGCGGCGCAAGCCTTGACAAGGAAGTCGTTGACGGAGAGCTTGTATTTGCCCTCAGCAGATGCGTTGAGAGCCTGGCGGAGCTTCAGGAGCTTGGTGACGGACAGAGTGGTCGAAACGAAGAAGTGAGGGTTCTCTCTCATCGACTGCTGCAGGCGGGAAGCAATGGTCTTGCGCATAGATGTGAGAGGGATGTCTTCATATGTGGGGGCGGCGGAAACGCTAGGCTTGTACTTCTCCACATCTTCCTTGGTGATCTGACCACCACGTCCAGTACCCTTGAGAGCCTTGATTGGAACACCCTTCTCCAGGGCCAATGCCTTGGCAGCAGGGGTGATGTTGGGCTCACGGTCAAGACTAGGCTGGAGCTTCTCAGTAGATGTCTCAGGCTCCTGAGCGGCGGGTGCTGGCTCGGGCGTCGAGGGTGCTGGCGCAGCCTCAGCCTTGGGCTCCTCCTTGCTCTCCTTGGCGGGAGCAGCTCCCTTATCACCACCGGCGTCTTCCAGAGTGAAACTCTCGAAGGGGGCGACATCTGTTCCCTCTTCCACAAGGACGGCGATAGGCTGTTTTTGCGCATTAGCGACGGGGCTCAGTGGGCCACGGAAAAATTTTCAGTCAATACATACAGTGCCGACGGCCACATCCTTCTCACCAGTCTCCTTCAGAACCTTGGCTAAGACACCCTCCTCTTGGAACTCAAAGTCCATCTGTGCTTTATCGGTCTCGATTTCCACCAGAACATCACCCGGCGACAGGGCGTCACCGGCCTTCTTCTGCCAAGCCCCAATGTTTCCTGCGGACATTGTGGGCGAGAGGGCAGGCATGCTGATGATGGTGTGAGGGGGGAAGGCTGTAAAGGCGCATAATTAGGATCAAATCTCCAATAGGTAAACTTGATGGGGACGAGGAAAAAACGAGTCGACATACACTTGGAGGCATAGAATCGGGAGAGGGCGGATAAGGCAGGCAATTGAGGTCTATAGATCCGAAAAAAAATTATTAGTATCATTGCCAATAAAGATTGACCATAAAAAGTTCAAGGTGAACCATACTGGACAGCGTCCTTGAATCTGTGAATAACCTGAGGCCGCCTCACGCAGAGGGCGCCTTTTGACAACATGGCGCTGGGAATGCGCATTCGGACAGCAGAGGCAACCATGGTGCCAAATGCTGTAGCTATGATATAATTGAAAGGCCCGCGGTGCAAAAGAGAAGAGAAGATAAGATGGAGATGGGGCCGGAGGATGAGTCTGGCAAGTGAAAGGCCTGTATCAGAGAGTTGGGGATGCAGCTCCTGGAACTTTTCTGTTGAGCTTCCGGTGAGTGATCGGAATAGTTCTCGCCGGATTTCTCCAGGGCGGCCATCCCCGAATTACGTAAGCTCAGCGCCGCATCTTTGGCGCGCGGCGGTCACCGTATATTGTCCGCCTGCGGGAGAAGACACGCATCCGCATCAGCTCCAGGACCCATGCAATAGCGCGATACTCCGGCACACGGTTTCTACCTCCTTTCGTCATTTTTTTGCCTTAGTCCGATTTTACGTTCCATGTGTATTTTTCGCTTCAATTATTGAATGCTCCGCTCGGAGTTTCGCATAAATGGCGGATGTTGAGAATGGCTCTTCGCAGGAGCCCAATCGGACATCTATGGTAGTGCCGCAGGGAGACAACAAGGAGAATGCTGTCGATGTCTCAATACCTGCTGGATCTGAAGATTTTGTCGAGGAAGACGCCAAGCCTTCTCTTCCTCTCGTATCACAGAGGCAGAAAATTGATACTGAGGAGGTTACAGACTCCAATTCACCGCAGATCAAAGTAGAGTCCTCCGAAGTAACAGAAACCGCGGACAAACCCCCGAGTCCTCCGAATGACGCCGCTGATACCGAAGATCCTGAGAAGCACGGCTTCCCTCAACCGGAGTCGAAAGCAGACAATGTCGATAGTTTGGGAAATGGTCAGGTAGAGATTCCTCCAGGAGACTCTGCGGGCGACAAGCAGGATGGCGGCCCTATACCCCAGTTTGAGCTTACACGAGACACACGACTGCGCTCAGACTCGAGATCAACGACTGCTACGTATGCGACTCAGCGCTCCGTGACCGTCAGCTCTGCAGTGTTCATAGTCACCGCTCTCGACACAATTGGGGCGTCCAAGGAAGCCAAGAAGAGCAAAGAACTGGAAGATGCCGTGAAGAGCGCGTTGGCAAACGTCAAGCATTCAGACCGCCAGCCGATCGATCCGGAGCTTATATTTCGCCCTCTTCAGCTTGCGACAAAGGCCTTCAGCATCCCCTTACAAGTCACAGCGCTCGACTGTATCGGGAAACTGATAACTTACTCATACTTTGCCTTTCCGTCATCTCAGGATCGCAAGGGCTCGGAAACCGAGGCCACACCGGGTCAAACCCCTCTGATCGAACGGGCAATCGATGCCATCTGTGATTGCTTTGAGAACGAAGCCACCCCCCTTGAGATACAGCAACAAATTATCAAGTCCCTTCTTGCGGCGGTTCTGAACGATAAGATTGTGGTACACGGAGCTGGTCTCCTAAAAGCTGTCCGACAGATCTACAATATCTTCATCTACTCCAAGTCTAGTCAAAATCAGCAGATTGCCCAAGGATCACTGACACAGATGGTCAGCACAGTGTTTGACAGAGTCCATGTGAGACTCGAGCTGAAAGAATTACGTTTGCGTGAAGGTGAAAAGGGACAGGTGAATACACCTGACGCTGTGACAATCGAAACCGCTGAGGTGCCCCTGTCAACTGAGCAGGATCAGGCATCCGATGCAGCCTCTGTTGTAGCACCCGATCATCCCGTTGCGAAGGAGCCTGGGGAAAAGCTTACTCTGCAAAGTTTCGAGTCAAGCAAGGATGTCACGTCAGTCGCGGATAATGCGCCGACAATGGTTACCCGCGCCAAACTTGGCCAAAAAAGGACGCAGTCATTGTCTAGCACATCCGGGGAAGACAGGGAAGATGGCGACGGAGCTACCGACGATGATGAGGACGAGATTTATATCAAAGACGCTTTCCTGGTATTTCGAGCTCTATGCAAACTGAGCCATAAAATCCTCAGCCACGAACAGCAACAAGATCTCAAATCTCAGAATATGAGATCGAAGTTGTTGTCCTTGCACCTCGTTCATTACCTCATTAACAACCACGTCGCGGTCTTCACCTCCCCGCTCCTAACGATCAGGAATAGCTCCAACAGCTCGGATGCTATGACGCTTCTGCAAGCTGTTCGGCCCCATCTGTGCCTCAGCCTGAGTCGAAACGGGTCAAGCTCAGTGCCCAGGGTCTTCGAGGTTTGCTGCGAAATCTTCTGGCTCATGTTGAAGCATATGAGAGTGATGATGAAGGTTTGTTCAATCTGCTTGTCTTACTTGTCTGAGGGGTTCCTAACTCTTCACAGAAAGAGCTTGAGGTTTTTTTGAAAGAGATATACCTGGCTATTCTCGAAAAAAGGAACTCGCCCGCTTTTCAGAAGCAGTACTTCATGGAGCTTGTGGAGAGACTGGCTGATGACCCTCGCGCACTGGTGGAGATATATC